CCAGATTAACAGCCCCAATCAGGGAACTTGTATTCTGTGAGGTCCACCTGACTGATCTCATTACAATCACTACGCCTACATTGGAGACTGTCCCCAGTAACTGTCCATCCCTGGCCATAGCACAAAGGAGCCAAAACTATTTTTATTAAATATTAATTTACAAATTAGATAATGACCTTCATGGGGATAGATTTTCATTTCTGTAAATAAAATTCATTACAGTTATTGAATTCAAAAGCCATATATTCAAATTTAGATACTTCACTCAGTTTTGTTTTAATCAGAAAGTGGGGAGGTGTCAGGCCTAGTGGCATTTGTGCTGGACTATTATCCATAGACCCAGGTAATATTCTGCGGACCTGGTATCAAATCTCACAATAGCAGAATTTGAATGCAATTTTTAAGAAACCTCTGGAATTAAGAGTTTCATTATCAGAAAAACCCATCTAGTTCATTAATGTCCTTTCGGGAAGGAAACCGCCATCTTTACCTGGTCTGGTTTACATGTGATCCTAGACCCACAGCAATGTAACTGATTCTTAACTGTCCTCTGAGCAATTAGGGATGGGCAATAAATGCGATGCCCACTTCCCATGAATGAAGAATAAAAAAAGAAAAAGATGATACATAGCAGCAAAGCCTGTACTCATCATGTATTAATATCTATAAATTGCCCTCTTCTTGCCTTCAGAACCAAGTAATTCATTCTAATTTGCTTCTTGAATGGCATCAAATGGATTATCAAAATGATCTTCAAGCATTCATGTTGTCATCAGCCATATCATTCTCCAAGTAATCATTCTCTGTTCCAACAAGTACATTGTATAACAGAGGTAGTAAGAACTGCTGATGCTGGAGTCAAAGATAACACAGTGTGCAGCAAGGTTCTCGACCCGAAATGTCAGCTTTCCTGCTCCTCTGATGCTGCCTGGCCTGCTGTGTTCCTCCAGCTCCACACTGTGTTATCCCATCTGGTTCACTAATGTCCTTTAGGGCAGGAAATCTGCTATCCTTATCTGGTCTGGCCTACATGTGACTCTAGACCCACAGCAATGTGGTTGACTCTTAAATGCCCTCTGTGCAATTAGGGATGGGCAATAAATGCTGGCCTAACCTGTGATGCCTGCATCCTATGAGTTAATTTTTAAAAAAAAGTTTAAGAAATGAGTTTTGCCTTTTAATCATTTGTTCCTGCTTTGATCCTAATGAATTGCTGTTTTTCTATGTTGGTACACTCTATCCCTTCACATCCTGGGTAGCATCATCAAAATAGTTGTCCTGTGATGCCACCAAATGCTAGTGCTTTGTAAGCCTGCATGACCCTCCGCCCTCCCCATGATTAATTAATTGGATTGGCCAGGACGCCTCTCCCAGCACAGTTTAATGAAGCTGGTCTGATTGCAACAGCCTCGTTCTATCCCAGAGCCCCATGTTTCCTCAAACCCAGCTCTGGGATCAAGCTTGCTGTTGCAATTTTGCATTATGTAGCTCAGTGTCATTTTGATTCCTGGGAAGTGAAACGTCCAAGGCGCTATATGAATGCATATTATTTGCTATACAGGAGCGATTCCTGGAAATTTAATCATAACATTTGCCACCACACACAGTCCTAGATCGCAGCTAATACATGAGAATGGAAACAAAAAAGAATGTGGTTTAATCCTTATTTCCTGAGAGGTTTGAAGACAATTCCGGAATTCCAGTTTACGAAGGCCCCACTTTCAGCGTGACCTGTCGGAATTTGACCAATGTGTCGGTGGGGGGCGCTTGCTGAATGCGGAGGCAGCTTGCAAGTTGTTGTTGCCTTTTCGTTTTGCTTCCGGGCGGTGAATGAGTGTTTTGTGGATAAGTGGAAGCAAGAGGTTGTGGTGGAGAGGGAGCTTACCTAACGCTGCTGGGACATGAAGGCAGCAGGTCAGTAAAACGGGGTGGGGGACTAGAAGAGGAAGCGAGGAGCCGCTGACATGACCTTCTACAGAAACGGCGTGTGGTTTCTCAAGGGCTTGCGCGAGTATACAAAGTGAGTGCTGATCGCTAATCCCCTCCCTCGGCCATTCAGCCTATCTCTTCTGTGCACACTGGCAGCCGGGGATATCTGCTTTCGTTGCTGCTTCTACCTTTTTCTTGGGTGTTCCTTGCAAAGGGGTTATTTGAGAGCTTTGCGGGTTCAGTAGGACATTGTAAGACAAAAACGATAGATTAGAACGAGTGACATTTCCAGCCCGCGGTATTACACACACTCTCCAGGACGCGGTTACATAACATGGGGCTGGGTCGCTCAGTACTTTTTGCAAATGGAAAAGAAATACCGAGACCCGTTAATCTAGGGCTATTCGGGGGGATTGTGTGCCGTTCTAGTTCTAAAATAAGCCTTTTTTAAAAAAAAATCATTGCAGAGAGGATAGTGTATATAAAAGTCCAGTTCGGTGGTGCCTCTGGTTAATGCAGTTTATCATTACACTGGAGAACACACTTTCTGGATATCAATTTAAATCAGTTGTACAAGGCACAGGGTCTTACAACGTGAGCTGGGGATATATTTAGAGAATGCTGGGAGTTGTAGTTTTTTTCATCCCTCTGCCTGCTTCCTTTTCAAGCTCCTCCGTAGAGTTATACAACATGGAAACAGACCCCTCGCTCTAACTGTTCCATGCTGGCCAAATATCCTAATCTAATCCCTTTGACCAGCATTTGGCCCATATCCCTCTAAACCCTTCCTATTCATATACCCATCCAGATGCCTTTAAATGTTGTAATTGTACCAGCCTTTACCACTTCCTCTGACAGCTCATTCCATACACGCACCACCCTCTGCATGAAAAAGTTCCCCGTTATATTTTTCCCCTCTCACCTTGAACTTATGCCCTCTAGTTTTGGACTGCCCCACCCCAGGGAAAAGACCTTGTCGAGTCACCTAAACCAGGCTCATTACTAAAAACGAATCCCATCCATCTTAATCACAGCAATCATTTCAGTTGCTCTTTAAGTGCAAATTAATTAAATAAAGAAACTTCTCAGAGAGCATCAAAGTCTGAAGATTTGAGGTGACAGAAGCAAGACATTGCTCTGCAGAAAGAGAAAATAGCAGTAAGACAACAGCAATTGAAGTGGGAAGTGAATATGCTGGTTGCACTAGAATACTGCTTTGAGACTTGCAGTTAGCTCAGTTGATGAAGGGTCTAGGCCCGAAACGTCAGCCTTTCTGCTCCTATGATGCTGCTTGGCCTGCTGTGTTCATCCAGCCCTGCACCTTGTTGTATCGGATTCTCCAGCATCTGCAGTTCCTACTATCTCTGATTCAGTTGGCTGAATGGCTGGTTTGCAATGTAGAGTGATGCCAGCACATACAATTCCCGCACTGGCTGAGGTGACTGTGATATTCCCACCTCTGTACCTTGAGATGTGGAGACCCTTAGTTTTAAAACCACCACCAGTCATCGCTCTCTAATGAGAGAGTGAGATGATGGTGACTTTACATTGACCTCATCTGAGGTACACAAACCAAGTCTGATCAGTGTAATTTGTAAGTTTTACTGTCTTTTTTTTTCACTTCTGGGGCTGCTGCATTTCCAGATGTTTTAAAAAAAATGAATATCAATTTTTAAATGTGAGTTTGCACTTTTTTGCTGTAATACAATTTTGTCACAACTTTTCTTTTGTCATATTTGCATATTGGAATAGATGAATAAAAACGTTGACCCCACCCCAAAAAAATGTTGGACATAAAAGAATCAGCAAGGAAGTACATTCTTATAGTGCCTTTCACAAAATTAGATGTCCCAGAGTGTGTTAGAGCCAGTGAAGTACTTTTGAAATGTAGTCACTGTTGTAATGTCAGGAAATGCAGCAACCAGCTTAGTCACAGCCAGAATAGCAATGTGATGATAACCAGCTCATAATTTTTGGTTGAGGGATAAGTGTTGGCCAGGACATCAGTGAGAATACCCCTGTGCTTCAAAATTACTCCATGGGATCCTTCATGTGAGAGGGATGGTGGAGCCTTGGCTTGATAACCCATTTTAAAGACAGCAATTCCTCTGTCTGTAGGACTGGACACTAACAAGGTGTTCTGCAGGACTGGACACTAACAAGGTGTTCTGTAGTGTGATAAGGTATGATTTGTATCTGATTTTTATGGGGGGTAGGGATTTCAAAGCCAGGATAGATTCTTTCATATGAGGATGGGAAGATTCATCAACTGAATCCCACAAAGGTCTTTTTCCTCTTTAAGTAACCGGTTGGCGGATTTAACGAATTAAGGCCTGAAGGCAGTTTGAATGCTTATGTCACGACAGTAGGTCAGAACCCCGAAGTACTCTTGGATGGTGTCGAAATTTTAATCACGGCATAATGCAGCCAAATGATGACTGTGGATGTAAAGGCAATGATGGTCTGGCACATTCCTATGTGGGACCCTGGAATGTCATACCTGTACAGAGTGCGAGAAAAATCAAACAGGCTAAAAAGGAAGAGATAATGAGAGCCTGACAACGGTGCCCTCTCTCTCAGCAGGAGGTCATTGCTTGTTGTCATGTTTTGTGTTTTACCATTCTAGTGATTATACAGTAGGGGTTAAATAGCCAACTGCAATGCACAGTTTGTGTATTTTTTTTGGCCTGGCAAGCGAATGTGTGGACAGTGTGCGGTGAAGCTGTAATTAATGGGAAATAGTTTGTATAGCATAGTGATGACCGCATCTGTATGAAGATTTGAACCCGAAACCAAAAATGGGTGCAGCTAAAGCTTCCATTGTATTTGTCTGAGCCTTGATGCACTTAATGACTAAACAGTAGTGGTGCAAGGAAATCAGCAATGTTATTTTGCTATTCCTCTGGGTTGGAAGTTGTGACTTATGTTGTTTCTTTAGTTAATGTCTTTCTATAAATTTTAGAAGGAGAGCACATGACCTCTATAGGCCTGCAGTCATGCACTGTTCTTTTGAGCATTTATGATGGCGTGGTAGTGTGAACAAGACCCCAAGTCATGAGGTGCCAATGTTTTCCAACATTAATAGTCTTCTTGGTCCCGTTTCCTTTCACCAGACTGTTGTTAAAGAATGCACATACAAAATTTAGTGAAAGGGCATGAACTAACACATCCTGGATCTCAGCAGGTAACGAAATAACAGTCAGCTAAATTGCCCTCTGATGTATTAAACCATTCAGGGAATAAGCAACTTAACTGTTTAATTTATTTCTAGCCCACAGTACACATCTACAAGTTATGTATCGGTAAAAAGAAAACAAAAACTCTCATCGTTTGAGATGAAACCAAATCCTAAATCCTATCATGTAAGAAGAATGTGACTTACATGTCCTTCTGCTGATGGATTTGAATCCTAAAGGAATGTTGATGCTTATCAACCGGTGTTGGAGAGGATTAGTATCTGTTTGGGGAATGTGGATTCCACTATCATTCTCAAGGATGGGATTAAAGGAGTGGAAAGGTCATGCCAGCAAATGTTGAGGCTGAGCATAGTTGAACCATAACCTTTCAATTTTTTTTAATGTAGTCCCAGTCCCAAGAGTGGCAGCAAAAGTATCACCCAATTCTTGGTCTTAATTGCAGCTACCATCACTCTATAGGTACTTGGACACAGGCTGATAAATCTGTCACGGATGTATCATTTCACTACAAGTGCATGGAGGTAAAGTTATTCAAATCGGGTGGAAAAATAACGAATGTTGCTAACTTTTCTTGGGTCAAGATGTTGTGGATGTCCATTGGCATAACTTAAAGCTGCCCATGCCCATTTGATGGCCCAAGGTTTCTCATAGCTCCATGAATTTGTGAGACCAACATTCTCTTGATCAAATTCTGTCCTGCAACCGTCATGCTGAAGTTGATTGTGTGTGAGGTGGTTAGGTTGTCGGTCTTGCTCTGTAGTGAATTTGATGTTATTCAAATAAAGTGGGAAAACATCTTCCTTTCCCAACGACATGGCCTTGCACTGGCGTGACCTTTCTTCAAATGTGAAATCAAATGCTGATGTTGGTAAGCTGCCAGTTGTATATCAGCTGCAAGACAAGTGTTGTGTTTTTTTTAACATGGAGCCTGTCTTCGGGATGCTGCATATTGGCTGTGTGTGGGAGGAATGAAGCACTGAGCTCCCTTAGTCCTGTTCATCACACTATTGTTTGGTCTGTACCCTGCAGAAGTGGATATGAAGCTGCTGCACAACAATTTGCCCCAAAGGACCTCGATGTTGATGTGTCTGGAAGGTGCTTCCTGATCACTGGAGCGAACAGCGGGATTGGCAAGGCCACAGCAATGGAAATTGCAAAACGGGGTGAGTATTCCTATAATCTAGCCTGATTCTGGCTGACCAGTGCTTAGATAGCTGGCATACACCCTGTACTTGTGGTAGTGAGTATGGTTAGCCTCAGAGCAAGCATTGATAAATATTTATTGACAGCACAGGAGCGCCTATCCTGACCACATGTTGTCTTCAACTTTGAACGAGAGAAAAAAATTGTAGCATCTTTTTCAGATTTCGGGGTGTTCCAAAGTGCTTCACTGCCAATGAAGCAGTTTTGATGTGTAGTTACTGTCTTAAGCTGGGGCCAATCAATCTCCTTTTCTGGTTCCTGTCCATCCTGAGGGTTCTGTCCAGCATGTTAACCACCCGCTTCACTGCTGAACGCCAGTAGCTCATCTTCCATCTCATGGAGGTTACTACCCAAAAAGCAAGGGTGACACTTTGAAAATCCGTAAGATTGAGTGGAATGCTGTGGAATTTATAGCACAGGAACAGAGCTCTGAGGTGATGGTTGCAGCAATGGACAACAGGCATGAACAACCTTCTGTTTCCTCAGCAAAGCAACTGTTTGCCACATGCTCACGTCATTCACAGGGTATTTCACAATGAAGGGCATTGCAGCTGAGTTTGCAGTTTGTTATTTTTGAGTCCATAAGGCTTTAAATAAGAATTCTGACAAGGTAGCAGTTTTCTTTGGCATTTCTTGCAGTGACTACACTTCCGAAAGTCATGAATGGTACTATGTATCCGTTTTGCCTGGTTTGCAGACTGTTGGAGGACTGGTGCCATCAGCTTGTTTTACTGGAGCACAAAGATAGCTGGATCTTTTGGCGGCTGGCATGGTTGTGTCACAGTCTGTATTCCCACCAGACTGTGCTGATGAGTGATGAGATGTGGGTTGGAGCTTTCTACATAACAGGCTTTCAGAAGTCACTCTTTCTCCCTTGAGTACTTGCTGAACGAAGGTTGCTTACGGTGGAGAGCCAAGTCAAAAAGCTACCAAACAGCTTTTCCTCTCCGCACTTCATGCATGTTTTAGAAACATCATTCTCCTCTAATGTCTGTCCTCTGTAGTCCAGCCTCCACCCCGAACTGTGCTTTCCTGGCTCTGTTCCTCTCCTTTGCAATAGAAAGATAAAATCATCTTCGAAGTTAGTTCCTCCACTGTATACATTGTACTTTCCTATATCCTTTCTCTATATGCTATTGCTAAGTGATACCACTCAGAAGGACGGGGGTACGTTTTCTCCCATATGTCACCAACTCTAACGTCTCATCCCATCCCCTTTGTCCCAGAGTCTGCTGGCACACTCTCCAACTCCATGCCCATCAGTTACCCATCTACCCTGTCGGGTTGGGGCAAAGGAGCGGTATTCTGGCTCACTGCTCCAGACTGAGCTTCCTCTCCCACACCGACCCCAGTTAGAATAGTCCATTCTTGTACCTCCATCACCTAGGACTGTCTTTGCTCCTGCCTCTAACTGACTACGAGCAAAATTGTAGTGTGAGAGGTTGTCATTTCAAGGCTTGACTTCTCTCATATCGCCGCAGGCAGCCTTCCTGCCTGCCTCAGATGAGAACTTATTTGAAATCTTATATCCTTGCTCACAAAGGTATCTGGTATTCCAGCTGCCTTCACCTTGGAGCTTTGTTCCGGTGGTAGAAATTCCATGGCATACTACTCAATCTTACTGATTTTAAAAGGGTCATCCATGAGATCGAAGATAAGCAAACAGAATTCAGCAGTGAAGCAGGCAGATAAAATTCTGGACTTGCGAGAGCGTGAATACATCGTTAGGCCTTCTATCATCTTCAGTCTTGCCCCACCTTTAATAATCGGCTCGAGTCCACGTTGGCAGAGCTTACACTCTCCGCTCCCCATTCCCTCCGAACAATTATTAGTCACTACATTTTTAAAAAATTCATTCATGGGATGAGGGTGTCGCTGGCCAGCCCAGCATTTATTGCCCATCCCTAATTGCCCAGAGGGCAGTTCAGAGTCAATCACATTGCTGTGGGTCTGGAGTCACGTGTAGGTCAGACCAGGTAAGGATGACAGTTTCCTTCTCTAAAGGACTTTAATGAACCAGATGGTTTTTTTTCCCCCTAATCATCAACAATGGATTCATGGTCATCATTTGACTCTTATTTCCAGATATTTAAATTCCACCATCTGTCGGGGCGGGATTAGAACCCGGGTCCCCAGAACATTACTTGGATTCCTGGATTAACGGTCCGGTGATAATACCACTAGGCCATCACCTCCCCATGCTCCATCTAACCCTGCTGGGCTCCAGAACTCCCTCCCTAAAACCCTTGTCTTTGGTCAGTAGGCTTTTGGCCTCTCTGTTACCCTGTCCATTTCACCTCCTGTTATATGGCATTTCCTTCTCTATTTTTGAATATGAACTACTCTGAGACATTTTCTCAAAATTGACGTGCAAGATAGACTTGCAGGTTACTTGCTGATTTATTTTAACCAACAATGCTGATAGCATTCATTACATACATTGTAAAATGTAAACCACTGTTTGTACTATACTGTGTTTGTAAGTGAAAGGCATCTAAAGTAGGTGTAGCTTAACAGTGAATGTCACAACCAGAAGTCCTATTACACTGAGCCTTAGACAGTGAAAAGGTTAAATCTGCATTGTGTTAAGTTAATTTGGAACTGTTCATTACATTTTCAGGTGGAAGGTCTATCACCGAATGTAATAATGCTATTTTTATAACTTTAGATTTATTCAGATTTCAGCGCCTTTAAAGATGAAGTGAGTAGGATGTTGTTAAAAGGTTGTAAAGTTTTGACCTTAAATTGGAAACAAAGTTTGACTGGTTTAAGGCAAGTTCTTGTGAGGTGTAAGATTGCAGGAATGAGTGACCCTCTGTGAATGTAGCCACATGGTGGAGATGTCTAACAGCTACTGTGTTCAAATGGGATTAATTGTCATTTGTGAGGCATATTTTTTTCAATTGTCATGGATGGAAGAGATACTAGAATTCCAGGACTTTGCCTTTATCGGGTAATCTGATTTGCTGAATATTCCACTTAATAAAAGGTTTGAGTTTCTACAGGCGGTGTTATTCACCTTGTTTGTCGAAACAAAGAGCGAGCTGAAGAGGCCAAAGCTGAGATTGTGAAGGAGACCAATAATGAGGTAAAGGTATCATTTCTGAATAGTTTTGGGGGGAATGTGGCCTTTTTTGTGTGGCTGGCTCCTTTCTTTTTGTTAACTTTTGGTTGTGGGCATGGTTAGGATTTGCTGGCTGGTCTAAGTTGTCCTCAGACAGTGCTGGGGTTGGCCGTCATCTTCTGGATCAGTTTAAACGCTTTGACCCAACTGAATGGCCATTTCCCCTTTGTGGCGTTAATCAATGGAAATCACAGCTATATTACCGACAACAGGTTACCTACCTACTTCTCAGGTCATTACCCCTGAGCTTAGCATGCAATGGACCACAATATGGATTTGTGGGATAACAGCAAAGTGCTGAAGAGACTCCGCAGAGACTATCTTCAAGGAGTCATATCAGACTCAAAACATTAACTCTTTCTCTCTCCACAGATGCTGTCAGACCTGCTGAGTTTCTCGAGCACTTTCTGCGTTTATTTTCTGTCTCGCACCTGCAGCATTTTGCTTTTATTTTCGAACGAACGTATGGGCCTTTTTAAGAGATGAGAGAAGAACTGGCACCTGACGACTGTAAAAGCACTTCACAGCCAATTATAAAGTAGACCGTGGGCCAGGAAGTTGAGGTCTATGCAGGGACTGCGTACAGTAGTGAGAAAAACAAGGAGATAATCTGCTTTCATGTTGGGGATCAATGGTGGTCAGATTTCGGCCTCCTGTCCAGTCAAGCCCAATCATAGAAAATGGAACTCCTTCATTTGTACTTGACAAGACTTTTATCCCCCCCTCCAAAATAAACTGACCATTCATTTCATTGCTGTTCAATGGATCTTGTATGTAAATAGATTCCTGTTTTTGCTTACCTAACAGCAACTAAGGTACAGTACAAAAGGAATTGACTTGGGACATCTTAAGGTGCTGTATAAATACAAGTCCATTCATTCCTCTGTTGGAGAGGTGATGACCTAGTAGTATTATTATATCTGTTAATCCAGAGACCCAGGTAATGTTCTGGGCACCCAGGTTCAAATCCCAGCACAGCAGATAGTAGAATTTGAATTCAATAAAAATCTGGAATTAAAAGTCTAATGATGATTGTGACTTCATTGGTTTTTTCCTGACAATTCACAATCTGTTTCACTAATGTCCTCCAGGGAAGGAAATTGCTGTCCTTACCTGATCTGGCCTGCATGTGACTCCAGGCCCTCAACAATGTGTTGACTCTTAACTGCACCCTGAGCAATAAATGCTGCCCTCATCCTGTGAATTAAAAAAAATTCTGTATTGTGCTTTTGTCCAACGTATCCCACTGGTCAATTGTATTTTACATCCAATAAATTACTTCAATGTAGTTCCTGTTGCTAATTTGCATCCAGCAAGCTCCCAACATCTACAATGAACAATGGTGGCTAGAGGATGTGGTTTAGTGATGTTGATTTTACAGATAAATATTGGCCAGGACGTGGGGGGAAAGCTTCTATGCCCTTTTAAGAGCGCTGAGCTCTTGTCTTTCAGATGAGATGCTCTGGTAGGTCCATGCTCCCTCACTACTGCACGGCAGTGTTTGTGTGGATTGAGTGTTGAAGCCTGTGGAATGGGATTGAAGCCATTCAGAGGCAAGAGTGCTATTGGTAAGGCACAGATCAGGAGGCATGACAAAAGGTTGCTCAGAAAGTTGAGTTGTAGGTGGTGAGAGAAAGCGTTAAAGGAGGGAGGTCTGAGAATTAAACTGGGGCGGCTGAAGACTCCATAACTTGGATGAAAAGTGGGACAAGTCAAACTATCATCCCATTCCAGTGACGTTCCTTTCCCATGCAGTTTGGAACTTGCCAAAAGTGGAAATGAAATGAAGTCTAATATGGTTGGCATGGACGAGTTGGGCTGAAGGGTCTGTTTCCATGCTATATGACGCTGTGGTGGTACCAAATCTTGTTCGGTTCTGAGGAAGTGTCACCAGACCCGAAAGGTTAACTCTGATTTTTTTTTCATCAGAGATGCTGCCAGACCTGCTGAGCTTTTCCAGCAACTTCTGTTTTTGTTCCTTCGCTTGGTTTCGTCTTGTTGCAGTACCATTGACTCACACCTGGTGGCTCTCTTGAGCAAGTACCAGCCAAGCAGCTTCACCATCACATCTCCTGTACTGCAGCATTCAAAGTTAAAAGCAGACCAGCTCTCAATATTTGTAAACCTGTTAGCCTGGCAATTGTACAGTGCAATATTTGTGTGCAAATGTTGAACACATTTATCTGGGAACTGTCTGACATTTTACTGCAAATGTTGACTCATTTAATTTAAATCAATTCATAACTTTTTGCAATTTCAAATGTTCATGATGAGAACAGCTTATGTTAAATTATACAGTAGCACAGTTTAAAAAATAAATATTGTGGCCATGGAACTTTCTTCAGGGAAATGGATACATTTAATCTCGTATTCCCTTTGGTCGATCCCTCACTGTTCAACAACAGCAGCTTGCATTTATTTAGCACCCGACAAAACTGTGGCAATTGAAGTTGTGTTGGTAAATGCAATGGCATCCACTTTAGACCTGAGTGTTTCCTGAGAAGCTGGGAACTGCAGAACAGCAGTTAGGGGTTCGTGCATGACATGTCCCAAGATCCTGCTTCACAGGGAGCGCTGTCACACTGAGCAACATGAGGAGACAGTAGGTCAGCTGGCTAAAAGCTGAAAGCTTCACGGAAATTTGTAACAGGAATGAGAGACTAAAGTAAGTAACTGCAGAGCTTAGGCCTGGCAATTGAATGCACATCCATCGATAGTGGAATGGGAAAAATCAGAAGTGAGTAAGGAGCCAGAAACATGGAGGGTTGTAGGCCTGGAGGAGATTTGAGGGATAGGAAGGTGCAAGGCCATGGACTGATTTGAAAACATGGATGAAAATGTTTAATTTGATGCTAGAATCAGTGTAAGTTAGCGAGCACTCGAAGAATGACATGGCATTCAAAATGTTATACCCAGTATTGGGTTTTCTTTATTAAATAACAGAGCTGTTCATCAAAGCTTGTTCCTCAAATGATGGGTTAGGGTCCTGGTGGGTATGGTGTATCTGTAATGAACGTGATACCCTGTAACCGTGTCTGGTTACTGTACAAGAAAGTTGGATTTGGAGCCAATTGGTTTCAATTACAACGTTGACTTTGACTTTATCTTTCCTTTTTCTTCAAAGGAGGTTTTTGTCCACATTCTTGATATGTCAAGACCCAAAATGATCTGGGAGTTTGCAGATGCATTCCAGCAATCAAATGACAAACTGAACGTTTTGGTGAGTTTTGTTTTAAAGCTTTCTCTGCTATAGTGTGCATTTTTTTTCTTTGCTGTTAAAGTAAAAGAAAATCACATTTTCTTTGAGTTGCAAATGTTTGATTTCACCTTGGAGAAAGCAGACAGCCAGTGGCGATGGAAACATTCAGAGAATACCTGGTGAAATGAGAAGGGACTTTGCCCAAGACCAATTTCAATTCTGAACACTGGTCTAGATTGACATCTTCCTGGTACTGCTTATGCAGAAAACATTCAACAGTGCAGCAATTCAACAACTTATTAAAACAACGTTGATTGCTGCAGTTAAGGAAAGGCTTATTTTAAGTTTGTGATTCGCTGAATAAAATTCTGATTTAATTGGAATGGTTACTCGCCCTGGTCGAGTTGGGGCAGGGATGGGGGCATTTACAAATTAAGTGGATAAAATGATGGCAGTGCTAGAGTTTCCATGTGGGGAAAAAGCAAAGATTTCCACTTTACACCAAAGCTCTGACTGCTTTCTAAGTGTGAGTAGCTGGGAGCTCTGGAGGGGTAGTGCCAATTTAGGAGTTCATACACAAAAGCTGTTAAAGTCTGAAAGAAAAAATAATGTCAAAGGCTGATGAGATGTTAGGATACGCTTCAAGGGGTTGGAATGTAAAGCGGCAGAAAATACATTAAAGCTGAACGGAGCTGTACGTAGACACCATCATGAAAGTTCTGTGGACTGCATGTGGATTCACAAGGAACATTCTCAGCCAAAAAAGAGGTACATTGAGGATGTAGATAGCAAGAACTGCAGATGCTGGAGTCCGAGATAACAGTGTGGAGCTGGAGGAACACAGCAGGCCAGGCAGCATCAGAGGAGCAGGAAAGTTGACATTTTGGGTCGGGACCCTTCTTCAGAAATGGGGAGGGGGGGAAAGGAACTGGGAAATAAATAGAGAGAGGAGGGGTGGGTCTGGGGAAATAGTGGGATGGTGATAGGTGAGTGCAGGGAGGGAGTGGTGGGGATTGGTCAGTGAGGTGGGAGGGGTGGATTGGTGGGAGAGAAGATGGACAGGTTGTGTCAGGTCAAGGAGGCGGGGATGCGTTTGCTGCTGCTGATGTCACTAACTCCACCCCCACAGCCAGCTCCAACTCAGCTCCCAGCTCTACACCCAGTCCCAGTGCCAGCCCCAAGCCCTGCTGTATTCACCTTTTTCCCCAAACCTCCCCCCTCACTGAGGATTCGCCTTCATTCTCCTCTGCCTACACATCAATGAATTCCGTTTACATCTGGATGTTGAACACTTTTTCCGCAGCCTCTGCCTCCGTGCCTATTTCTTTAACCGCGAGTCTAACCCACCCTCTGCTGACCCCTTCTCCCACCTCCAACAAACCTCATTTTCCTGGTCACCACCCCAAGGCCTTCTACCCTCCCTCGATCTCCTACCCCCCTCGACCTCTTCATTTCCAACTGCCATCGCGACATCGATCGCCTCAAGCTCTCCACCCCTTCACTTGCTCCAGTCTCTCCCCCCACGGAACATGCAGCCCTCCACTCCAACCCTAACCTCATCATCAAACCCACAGATAAGGGGGTGGGAGCACAGTAGTGGTATGGCGCGTGGACCTTTACATAGCCGAGGCCAGGCGCCAACTCTCTGACACTACCTCCTACCGCCCTCTCGGTCATGACCCCACCCCTGACCACCAAACCATCATCTCTCAAACCATTCATAACCTCGTTACCTCGGGTGACCTCCAACCCACAGCCTCCAACCTTATCATTCCCCAACCCCGCACCACCCATTTCTATCTCCTTCCCAAAATCTACAAACCTGACTGCCCCAGCTGACCCCTTGTCCCTGCCTGCTCCTGCCCCAGGGAACTCATCTCCGCTTACCTTGACTCTGTTTATTTTCCCCCCTGGTCCAGGAACTCCCCACCTATGTCTGGGACACCACCCACGCCCTCCACCTCCTCCAAGACTTCCAATTCCCTGACCCCCAACACCTCATCTTTACCATGAACGTCCAATCCGTGTACACTTGTATCCCCCATGCAGATGGCCTAAAAGCTCCCAGCTTCTTCCTCTCCTACAGGCCCAGCCAGTCCCCTCCACCAACACCCTTGTCCGCTTAACTGAACTCGTCCTTACCCTTAACAACTTCTCCTTCAATTCCCCCACAGATTAAGGGGATGGCCATGAGCACCCGCATGGGCCTAAGCTATACCTGCCTCTTTATTGGATATGTGGAACAGTCCCTCTTCCGCTGCTACACTGGCCCTATCCCCCATCTCTTCCTCCATTGTATCGATGACTGTATCGGCGCCACCTCGTGCTCCCACGAGGAGCTTGAACAGTTCATCTACTTTACTAACACCTTCCACCCCAACCTCAAATTGACCTCGACCATCTCCAATACCTCTGTCTCTCCATCCTGAACCTCTCTGTCTCCATCTCTGCTAACTGCCTCAAAACTGACATCTATTTCAAACCCACCGACTCCCACAGCTACCTGGACTACACCTCCTCTCACCCACCTTCCCGCAAGAATGCAAACCCCTACTGCCAATTCTTCCGCCATGTCTGCTCCCAGGATGGAGTGTCCCACTCCCGAACGTTGCAGGTGTCCTCTATTTCAATGACCGTAACTCCCCCACTCCCCCACCATCATCACCTCCCCCACAATCATCACCATCCCCACCTCCCACCCCGCTTTGGTGATCAAAAATGCCCTCAGCTGCATCTCTTGCATTTCCCACACTTCTGCCCTCCCACATCCTTCCCCTAACAAAAATAAAGACAGAATCCCTCTTGGCCTCACATATCACCCCACCAACCTCCGCGTCCAACGTGTCATTCTCCGCCACTTCCGCCACCTACAATCCCACCCAACAACCAAAGAGACATTTCCCTCCCCACCCCTATCTGCCTTTAGTAGGGACTGCTGTCTCCACGACTCCCTTGTCCGCTCCACGCTCTCCAATAGCACCTTTCCCTGCAAACAGAGGAAGTGTTACACCTGCCCATACACCTACCCCCTCACGTCCATCCCAGGCCCAAAACAAACCTTTCACATCAGACAGAGGTTCACCTGTACATCTGTCAATGCGGTCTCTTGCATCCGCTGCTCCCGATGTGGCCTCCTCTACATCGGTGAGACCAAGTGGAGGCTCGGAGACTGCTTTGTAGAGCATCTGCGCTCAGTTCGCGACAAACAACAACACCTTCTGGTCGTGAACCACTTCAACTCCCCCTCCCACTCCCTGGGTGACATGTCCATCCTGGGCCTCCTCCAGTGTCACAACGACACCACCCGCAAGCTGGAGGAGCAGCACCTCATATTCTGCCTCAGGAGGTTACAGCCTGATAGCCTAAACATGGAATTGACCAGTTTTGAAATCTCCCTACCTCTGGCCTCGTCTCATGACCAACCCTCCCTCTCATCACCCCCACTCCTTTACCTGACACAACCTGTCCATCTTCTCTCCCACCTCACTGACCAATCCCTAGCACTCCCTACCTGCACACACTATCACCATCCCACCTACCTTCCCCAGCCCCACCCCTCCTCTCTCTATTTATTTCCCAGCTCCCTTCCCCTCCCCATTTCTGAAGAAGGGTCCTGACCTGAAATGTCAACTTTCCCGCTCCTCTGATGCTGCCTGGCCTGCTGTGCCTCTACGTTGAGGACAGTTTGCATCCAAGGTGGATAAATAGTTAAGGTACAGATTTGTCATGATCTAATTGAATAATGGGGCACGGTTGAAGGGATGAATGAATAAGGAGTATATACTTATCCCTAATTCTGCCCAGCAAGTGCAAATAGCTTTGAGTGTCTGAGCTTTAAGATAGAGTTGGAATTTGTAGTAACAGGCATGGAAGTCTTAATATATTGATATTGGAATGGGTCACGGTCAGTGCAGACACAATGGCCAAATAGCCCCTTCTGTGTTGGGACTGCAGTCTGCACAGAAAACTAGCCTTTAATCTGTGAGTTCCAAAGTTAAACACGTTGATAATTGTTTGAGTATCAGGAAGGCAAATTAATGTTTGTTTCAAAATCTTTGCTAGATCAATAATGCGGGGTGTATGGTCAATCAGAGAGAGCTGACTGCAGATCAATTAGAAACAAACTTTGCTACCAATACATTGGGTAAGCTGTCTTTCTTTCTATGAATGGTTTGGTTTACTCCTTCCTTAACTGTATTTTGACCATCACAGTAAAGATTTTTCAAGGTACATTTGGAAGGAGGGGCCCCGCTGAGTGTCTGAATACAATTTGCTTCACTTTTAAACACCACTTGATGAATTGGGTGTGGAAGTAGGCCATTCGGCCCTTCAAATGAGATCATGGCCGATCTGTTTGTGTTTTTTAACTCCACGTTCCCAGCAACCTGAGATTTTTGTTAGGCAAGGGAATCAACCTGCACCTGATAAATAATCAGTGACCCTCCTGCAGCACTTTCTGAGGGAGAGAGTTCCAAAACTGTACAACCCTCCTGTGAGGGTAGGAAAATCTCCTCCTCATTTCTATCCTAAAAAAGCGACTCCAATTTAAATGCAGTGTCCCCTAGTTCTGGACCCACTGACCAGTCTATGTCTACCTTTTCCACACCATTCACGATCATATGAACCTCAATCAGTCAACCCTTCTTCTTCTAAACTCTAGTGAAAGCAAGCACAACTTGCCCCATCTTTCCTCATAACACAACCCACTTATTCCAGGTATCAATCTAGTGAACTGCCTGTAATGCATTTACATCCCTCCTGGCTTTAAATAAGAAGACTAAAACTGTACACAGTTTTCAAACTACTGTAACTGAAGCATAATATCCTTACTTCAATAAGAACAAAGAGTTCTGGAGAAACTCGGCAGGTCTGGCAATACCCATGGAGTGAGAAACAGGGTTAACGTTTCAAGTCCAATACGATCTGAATGTTATCCAGGTTTGGGCCGACAGGTGGTGAGGAACATCTGTGCTACAACAAATGCCAAGCATTGACATTTCCAACATTGCCCCTTCACATTCAATGGCTTTACCATCACTGGGTCCACCTGAATGTTTCGGTTGATCAATAACGGAACTGGATTAGCCATACAAGCACAGTGGCTACAATAGCAGGTCAGAGGCTAGGAATACCACAGCGAGTAATTCACCTCCTGGCTCCCCAAAGCTACAAGGCTCAAGTCAGGAGTGTGCATCAATCAGAATGTGTGCAGCTGCAACAACACTCCGCCCCCTTGACTTGTCCGTCCTCCCTGGACTGACCTATCCCCTCCCTACCTCCCCACCTACACTCTCACCTTTACTGGCTCCATCCCCGTCTCTTTGACCTGTCTGTCTCCTCTCCACCTATCTTCTCCTCTATCCATCTTCTATCTGCCTCCCCCTCTCTCCCTATTTATTTCAGAACCCCCTTCCCCTCCCCTTTTTCTGATGAAGGGTCTAGGCCCGAAACGTCAGCCTTCCTGCTCCTATGATGCTGCTTGGCCTGCTGTGTTCATCCAGCTCTACACCTTGTTATCTCTGATTCAGGACAAAGCAGCCCACTTGATTGGTACTGAATCTACAGACATCTGCTCCTTCCGCCACCAATACTCAGTAGCAGCAGTTTGTACTAGCTACGAGATGCACTGCAGAAATTCCCCATGTCCTTAAGCAGCAACTTCCAAACTCAGGACCCATACAACCTAGGAGGACAAAGGCGTCAGATACATGGGATACCACCAGCTGCAAGTTCCCCTCCAATCCACTCACCATCCTGACTTGGAAATATATCGCCGTTCCTTCACTGTTGCCGGGTCAAAATCCTGGAATTCCCTCCCAATGGGCATTGTGGGTCAACCCACAGCAGGAAGACTGCAGCAGTTCAAGAAGACAGCTCACCACCACCTTCTCAAGGGGCAACTAGGGGACGGGCAAGAAATGCTGGACCAGTCTGTGATGCCCACTTTCCATGAATGAATTTTCAGAAACATTTTGTGGTTCCTGTTAGGGGACCTATAGGTCACTTCCACGAACGACTTCTCTCATTGACTAATACCCATCCCTATCTAAACTGATTCTCATTTATGTTCTGAACCAGGTTCACCTCTAACTGAGAATATACTCAGGGGTTTAAGAGATCTGTTCTGGGCTAGCGGAAGAAGTGCAGTGGAAATGGGAGGATCCAGTAGTCCTGGTCCACTTCAGTACCAATAATACGGGCAGCATTAGAAAAGAGATGTATGTATGAGAAAGTCTAGACATTTGGTGCTAAATTTAAAAATCAGTGCCCCCAAAGGAATAACCTTTCATGGAGAGCCTACAAGGTCTGCCTCCACTCCTGCATGTAAATATTTTGGAAATCAAACATGAAATTGTGACAATCATTACTCATGGTGTTACAGAGTATAAGACCAGTCGGTTGTGTTATCGGGACGTTTTATTTCTTTACTTTTCTAAATTTTTTTTCTCTTAAGAATTTGTTCTTAAGGATCTGTTCTATAAGATTGTGCTGTAATGTGACAATAAAGCTAATTCCATTCCATTCAGTGGTAGGGCTTAAATCATCCACAATTCTTGACTGCAGTGTTGCCCAATTTAAATCTTTACGTAAGTTTCCATTAACTCACAGTGCCACAAGAAGTGGTATTATTAGACAGGATGTGGTGACTATTTGCTAAATCTTGAATGACTACAGTAGGTGAAGCCCAAACTAGAATTCAGAAAAGGCATTGGTGACGTTATAGGGTCGCCCCCCCCCGTGAATTTTCTAAGATCCAGGAACATGGTTTGAAAACCAATGTATTAAATAATGACGAAACTACAAGTAATTATCTACTGGATTAATGCCATTTGCAAATGGTTATGGGTTCCTCCTTCTTTTCTCAGGTCCGTACATTCTCACTACAGCTTTGATACCTCTCTTAGAAAAATGTGAAGATGCCAGAGTGGTGAGCTCAGTTTGATTTTTCCCACTATTACATTGTATGCCAGTTTCTTGGTCACATTTAATTGGCATAATCTGCTGTGCTCTTGCTCCGCTCCAATATTTTCACGCCTTCATTTTTGTGCACGTCGATCAAATATTTTGACTTGTTTGCCAGATCACGGTATCGTCCGGGGGAATGCTGGTCCAGAAACTGAACGTGGATGATTTGCAGTTTGAGAAAGGGAGATTTGATGGGACCATGGCCTATGCACAGAACAAGGTTTGTCCTCAAAAAGTGAGCTGTGTATATGTATTGGAGCTGTGTATAAGAATTAGGAGCTGCTTATACAGGGGAAACCAGGAATTTGATGTAGTAAAGAAGTAGATAGAAGTACTTCTAAGTCAAATTCAGGACCACATGTACTCTGTGTCTGGAACCTTTGTTTTACAAATCATCAGAAAGATGGGAAAAAAAGAGGAGTTGACTTAACCAATCTAATAGGACAAGTAATTGATCACTAAGCAGATTTTCTTCAGTCATATTACATTCATATCTGAACTACCTGACGAAAGTCTCACCATTTCGGACTCTGCTAGATTGAACCCCAGGCCAAATTAGCAACTGCTCTGCCAGAATTAGGTAAGGTTTGTCTGGAATCATTATTGATCGGCTGAGATCAGAGCAATTCTGGGTCCGAAATGAACATCCCGTCTGGTTATCTCACACAGCCTTTTTTTGTTCCACTGAATTTCCTGCTCAATTCTGCATTTTGAGTCAAATCAAAACGATAGCTTTTGAGGGTCATGGCCTTCACATTAAACATTGTCCTCGATTCAGTCTTTCTTGCTGTTTAACTGCTGTTTCTAACCCAGCGGCAACAAGTGGTAATGATGGAGCAATGGGCAAAAATGCATAAGAACATCCACTTCTCCTCTATGCATCCAGGCTGGGCTGATACAGAAGGTAATGTCAAATGATACCAAATGCTGACTTTTCACAAAGACTAAATGAATCTTTTTTTTTCACTGCATGAATTATTTTGGATGTGACGTACACCACGGTTTGACTTTAAATCTCAGTACATTTGATTTCAAAATAAATGAAATACTCCTTTCTCTTGCCAGCTGTGAGATCTTCCATGCCGGATTTCCACACAAAGATGAAGAACCGGCTGAGGACCCCGTCTCAAGGTGCAGATACATTGGTTTGGCTTGCTATTTCCAACGTCGCAGCACAGCAACCCAGTGGCCTCTATTTCCAAGGTAAGGGCGACGGGCATGAATTCAATCCACCCAACACTGTCTTGAGAAGGATTTTAACCAGCTATTCCTACTTTGCGGTATGAAACATGCAGCTTTCACTCTGCAGTGCGGTTCAGATGAAACGATCAATCTTCTGGAAAGCCTTCCACCATCCTGGAAATCACTCGATACAATGTTCAGGGAGTTGCGAATAATTTGGAGCAATCTACATCTTTAATTTTTTTTTTCCCAATGCGTTTGTTCCATGGTTTGAGTGCAACCAGCTTTTATCATCCATCCATTACTGCTCTTAAGGTGATGGTGAGTTGCCTTCTTCTACCGCTGTAGTCCTTGAGGTGTAGGGAACACTAGAAATCCTGTAAAGGAGCAAGTTCCAGGATTCTGACCCAGCGACACTGAAGGAGCGGCGATATATTTCCAAGTCGGGATGGTGAGTGACTTGGAGGGGCATTTGCAGATGGAGGTGTTTCCATGCATCTTCTGCCCTTGTCCTTCTAGATGGAAGTAGTTGTGGGTTTGGAAGGTGCTGTCGCAGGGATGTGAGGGAGTTTCTGTGGTGCATCTTGTGGATAGTACGCACTGCTGCTACTGAGCGTCGGTGCTGTGAGAGTAAATGTTGAGAATCATGAATGGAATGCCAATTGAGCGAGATGCTTTGTCCCACATGGTGTTCAGCTTCTCCGAATTGAACTCATCCAGGCAAATGGGGAGTATTCGAGAACACACTTTTAGATGGTGGCCCGGTATCTAAGAGACAGCAGCTGAGTGACTTGCTGCAGAATTCCTTGTCTTTGATCTACTGTTTTTAGCCACAGTACTCATATGACTGTTCCTGTTCCATTTCTAGACAATGTTAACCCCCTGTGATGTTTCATGGTGAGGCATTCGGTGATGGTGATAGCATTGAACATCGACGGGCAATAGTTAACATCTCTCTGGTTGAGAATGATCCTTGTCTGGCAGTTGTGTGGCGCAAATGTTACTTGCCACTTGTCAGCCCAAGCCTGGATATGGTCCAGACTTTGCTGCATATGAACATGGATTCCTTCAGTAACCAAGGAGTCAGAAACGGTGCTGAACATTGTGCAAGCATCGGCGAACATCCCCACTTTTGACCTTATGATGGAGGGAAGATCAGTGATGAAGTAGTTGAAGATGGTTGGGTCTAGGACACTACCCTGAGGAACTCCTGCAGAGATGTCCTGGAGCTGAGATGACTGACCTCCAACAACCACGACCATCTTCCTATGTGCCAGGTACAACTCAACCAATTGGATGATCCACCCACTTTCCTTTGATTCAAGTTTTAATAGGCCTACTTGGTCAAATGTGGCCTTGATATCAAGGGCAGTCACTCTCACATCACCTCTGGAATTCAGCTCTTGTCCATGTTTGAACCAAGGCTGTAATGAAGTGAGTGGCCATGGTGGAACCCAAACTGGGCTTCACTGAGCAAGATATTGCTGAGTAAGTGCTGTTTAGAGTCAGAGATATACAGCACAGAAAGAGAACCTTTTGTCCAACCTGTCCATGCCAACCAGATATCCTAAATGCATTCAGTCCCATATGTCAGCATTTGGACCATTTCCCTCTTAAACCCCTCCTGTTCATGTACCCATCCAGGTGCCTTTTAAATGTTGTAATTGTACCAGCCTCCACCACTTCCTCTGGCAGCTCATTCCATACACACACCATCCTCTGCATGAAAAAGTTGCCCCTTAGGTCTCTTTTAAATCTATCCCCTCTTACCTTGACCCTATGCCCTCTGGTTTTGGACTCCCCCGTTGCGGGGAAAAGACCTTGTCTATTTCCCCTATCCATGCCCCTCATGTTTTTATAAACCTCTATAAAGTCACCCCTCAGCCTCCTACACACCAGGGAAAGTAGCCCCAATCTATTCGGCCTCTTCCTATAGCTCGAACACTCCAACCCTGGCAACATCTTGTAAATCTTTTCTGGATCCTTTCAAGTTTCACAACGTCCTTCCTATAGCGGGGAGACCAGAATTGCACACAGTATTCGAAAAGTGGTCTAACCGATGTCCTATACAGTTGCAACATGACCGTCCAACTCCTATACTCAATGCACTGACCAATAAAGGCAAGCATACCAAATGCCTTCTTCACTATCCTATCTACCTGCGACTCCACTTTCAAGGAACTATGAACCTGTACTCCAAGATTGCTTCGTTGAGCAGCACTCCGCAGGACCTACCATTAAGTGTATAAGTCCTGCCCTGGTTTGCCTTTCCAAATGCAGCACCTCCTATTCATCTAAATTAAATTCTCTCTGCCACTCCTTGGCCCAATGGCCCATCTGATCAACGTCCCATTGTACTCTGAGTTAATCTTCTTCGCTGTCCGCTACATCTCCAATTTTGGTGTCATCTGCAAACTTACTAACCATACCTCCTATGTTCACACCCAAATCATTTATCTAAACAACGAAAAGCAGTGGACTCAGCACCAATCCTTGTGGCTGCTCACAGGCCTCCAGTCTGAAAAGTAACCCTCTAACGTAAGCCCCTCTGGCTTCTACCTTGGAGCCAGTTCTGTACCATCAGCTCGTTCTCCCTCTATTCTGTGTAATCTAACCTTGCTAACGAGTCTACCATGAGAAACCTTGTCAAACGCCTTACTGAAGTCCATATAGATCAGTTTGACAGACCTGTTGATTGCTTAGCCCTTTCTGTCACTTTGCTGATGATCGAGAGTAACGAGAAAGGACAGTGATTGGCTGGGTTTGATTTGACCTGCTTTTTGCACACAAGACTGCAGGATTTAGCTCTGATCCTTTTGATTTTGGGATTATTTAACCTTCCTCTCTAAAGGAACCGTACAGGTTTTTAGGACAATCAGCAATGGTTTCACGGTTATCATTAGACTTAAGATTTATGAATTGAATTCAGATTTCGCCGTCTGCTAGGATTTGATCCCATTTCCAGTGTTCCCTTGAAGCTTCCCAACAGTGTGCGTGCAGCCATTCCAATATTCGCCAGACAGCAATTGGCATTGGAATGCCAATCACAACATTGACTTCTGGTTCGGGACATCGCTGCCGTGCATGGATCATGGAAACTCACACAGCTGGAAAGAAAAGTCGAGGGAATGCTGCCCCATGTCCCCAGAACATAACCTGAGTCTCCTTGGATGACCTAGTAATATTATCAATATGCGACGACAGCTCCTCAAATTAATCTTCAGTAGATCTAGATGGGAAATGTGGAAAATCCCAGTGCTGGTGAGCTTTGGGACCATGGGTCCAAAGTTAGCAGGCTGGAGAGAAAACATCTATCCACGTTTCTGTTTAATATAATCGATTAGCATTATAAGTGGCATCTCTAGTGCAGGCACTTCATCTGATTACAATTTTCTCATGTTGCACTATAAAGTGTTTATCTTTGTTTCAAACTGCTGTGTTCAGCATCTCTATTGTTTTCCCCTTAAACAGACAGGAAGCCTGTGTCAACCCATCTTCTGCTGGCCCAGACAAGAGCAACAGCTGCTGAGGAAGAGAAACTGATGAATAGCTTGGAGGAAATAGCAATGAAGCATAAACCTGGCAGCGGTTGATGTTGTCAGGGTAAAGGCAAATGTAACTCTTTGAAAAGTTACTGAGGTGAAACTGTTTCTGCGTCACTGTCTAACCTATAGTTTTCACTATTGATTGAGCAATCTCCTCCACAATGAGAAGACACAACACAGATGGAGTGATCACTTGTTTGGCATCTATTTCCAGCTACTCTCCCACCTTCCCATCTTTTAACTTCTAGCCATCGGTCAGTGCCGTCAGGAAAATATTTCATCCTTGCAGCACTTTCAGCTGAGTGCTGGTGATTATTTTTGACCTTTTTAGCTATTTACCTCCATTTTCCTTTTCTGCTTCTCCCCGTGCTTCCTTTCAACTTCCTTCACTAGGACACACTATAGAAATAAAGACTCCCCTTTAACATTGTTATGCTTTAACGTCATTAACAGTGACAAAAAAATCCATTTAACATGGCCAGCTTCACTTGCATTGTTTGCCACAGATGTCCTCTTCTGTGGACTACATTCTTTCATGACCTCTGCCTTTGCTCCAGCCATCAGTCCCCAACATTGCTCCCTTCCAGCCTTGCCTCTGTCGCAGGCCTCATCTCTCTCTGGGGCCTTACTCCCTTACTATTCTTTTTGGGACATGGATATTTCTGGTAAGGCCAGCATTTGTCACCCATACCTAATTGCCCTCGAATTGAGTGGCTTGCTCAGCCATTTTCAAAGGGTATTTAATGGTAATCCACATTGCTGTGGGTCTGGAGTCACATATAGACCAGAACAGTAGATATCCTTCCCTAAAGAATATGACTAAACTGGATGGGTTTTCACGACAATAGTTTCATGAATACAATTAGCTTTAACGTTCCAGATTTATGAACCTGTGTCGGTATTTGAACCTGTGTCCTCAAGAGAATGAATTTGGGCCTCTGGATTTACTAATCAATTCTGTTCCCACTTTACCCCTCTTTTTTTTTTCCTTGCCTTAGACCCTGGTGTTCTTCTCTTGGTTGCTGACTCCATTCTCAGAGATCTAAGGCTCTATATGGTGGTGGAGGCTGATCATTGCTAAAAGTCCCAGGATTTTAGTAAATACTAGCACAAACCAACCTCTGTTTCTGATGGTGTCTCAGTCAATGCAAAAGTACAGTAGTGCATGGAAAGTGCCTGCTGATACCCATAACTGCACATATCCATTAATCTGGAAACATGCACAATTCTGGATGGGCAATGTCATGGGTTTTGGGTATGCATGTAGTCAAATGTGGGAGGAAGGAGCTGAGGGATCTATTACCTGATTCTTCACATTTCAGTTCATATTTATTTAAGAAATCTGTCAGTATGTGTTTTATCCAGATCTGCTATTGTCTTTATGAAACTATTAAAATGTTTTGAATGCTTTCACCATGACAACTAAACGCCAAATATTTAACGTTTGTTTCAGGAAGACTGCTCCTTGTGTGATTAAGAGGACATTCAACAGACGTGTACCTCTTTCCATATGCAAGGGCTGTTTTTCTGTATGATTTTTTTGAATATTTGATGCACTCATAAATACCTTTTGACAACTATTTCAAAAGATAATTAATAGTGAAAGAGACTATCTTTCTTGTTAAGTGTGCAAAACCCCACTGTATCATAAGTTCATGGGCTTCCTTAATCTACGGGCCAAGAGATTTGACCAGCCTAATGCACAAATATCTGGCCCTGTGTTTTATGGTTTTGTTGTCTATTTGTCAGCCATCTGCAGGAAGCCAGTGATAATCAGGGCCAATGTAGGTGTTAGGTCAGCAAGACCTACACGTGGGAAACAGAAGTTTGTACAGGGAATGGAAAAGGTTGGGTGGCCTGATCAGCTATCGGAATATCCAAGTCACACTCGTGAAAGAAATGGTTGCGGATATAGAGGGACAAATGCAAAGTTAGAAAAGGACCATGTTTCCACTTCAGCAACCATGATCAGGGTGAAGTTAAGACTGTGCTCAGGTATGAGGAAGGATTCCAGCATTGAGAGTGTTCAGTTAAGGTGCAGTCAGGGAAAATATTGGAATCAAAAGTTAAGGAGCAGAGTTTGTGGTGTAAGCTAAATATGATGGTACTGACCGTACTTGGGTTCATGTGGCAGAAGTCTTGACTAGGTCAAGATTGAAGACTGGGATGAGACACAATAGCACTAGGGAAAACGGAGACGACAGAAATGTGGAATCTGCAGGTGAAGTTATCAGTATGTCAGTCTGCAGCAGGCTAGAATACAGTTCCTTTAAAGACTGTGGATATGAGTGTGTAGGAAGAGAGAAAGAAGGTACTACTGAGAACCAAGCAACTCCTATAAAAATGGGACAATGAGGCAAGGCACTAGAGATGTGTCAAATGCTGTAGCCACACTAAGAATAATGAAGGAAAGCGCACAATGTTCAAGTACAATGTTCAAGGTTAGGACAAATCTAGCAAATCTCAAACACATTTATTTTGATTGACAATACATTTATACAGTAACAATTTAGACACATCAATGACATTAAAATTCCAAACTGAACTGGTTTGTGTTAATGGTGAAACCAAATGTGGAGGTACAATAAAACCTGGGTTACACAGAATACTTTCAGAAATATTTATCAAAACATTATCAGCACAATATTAAAGAAAAACAGAAAATACCAGAAATATTCAGTTTTGATGAAAAGTCATCAACTTGAAAGATCAGCTCCAATGCTACCAGAGCTGGTGTACTTCCACTTTCCCTGTTTTTATTGCAGAATGCCAGCATGCACAGTATTTTACTTTGATATCAATGTAATTGTTGTACCAGTAAGAAAAACATCATTTGGTAGCACAGCACTGGTTTGTGTATTGAAGCATTAGCAGCAATCTCATTAAACTTCATTCACACTTATGAGATTCCTCCATCTGCAGTTGTACCAATTCTTGGTAGTAAGATTTGATCACATTAATATATTACAGTACCATAGATTTCCACAGCCTAACTTCAACAAACTCTGAATTTTTTTTTACTGGGGTCTGGTACTTCCTAATTTAGTTGAATGTTCAATTATAGTATTCAATTGTTCCTGTTGCTAAGGTGAACATCATTAATTGTATGCATACTTGGAACTTGATTTGTAGTGTGCTGCAGGCTGCTTGCGTTGGTCAGATTCTGACTGCTAGAACATGTCTAGAATTACCGCTCCCGTCTAAAGAGGAACTGGGTAGACTTCAGCATGTTTTACTATGTTAGAGAGGGATGAAAAGTATTGTACTTGACTAGGATATTAGGTTGATATTATGTATTGCTAAACAAAACATTCGCCCCAGCTCCACTCAATCCAAGACAGTTGCCTTGCAGAAACTGATTTTGGGACAGCTTTCTGCTCAGTCAGGAATGATTCAAATAAAAGGCAAAATGGGCAGGGTTCTGGTCTATTCATTTAATGAAGATCCCGTTCAGGTCTGAGCAGCTATCATCTCCAGAAACCAGATCGGAGGCTGGGGGAAAGGGGTAGTAAGAGAATGGGAAAGTAAAGAATCAAACTGGATGGTCTTCCTTTATTTAAATAGCTCTTATTTCCCAAAAGTCAATAATGTACACAAAAACTACACAAGTCAAATAATTGTGACAAACTGCACAGTGGTCTCAAGACTCACTGAAATTTTTGCTGCATATTCATAAACATAATCACTGCATTTGGATTGTTTTGACTTCAAGCTTAGTGGTTCTTAATTTGCCTTTAGAATTTTTCCTTTTCTGGAATTTAGTTTTAGCATTTCCATCAGCTTTTCTTCAAGTCAGCTGGGTTAGGTCACAAGGAAATACATCTACCTGAAATGCTTCAAGTATGTTCAACTACCAAGTCTATGAAAAGACAGATACAAAAGAGAACTGCTGAAGGGAATTGCATTTTCAATAACTGGAAGTCAGAGCATTATGTCTCAGTGAATTCATTCATTGAAAACAGTTGTATCCTTCTTGCAACTTATTTTGTGCTTAAGCTGACGTTATTCACAGTGTTTCTAGTGAAGTATGCTTTTAATAGAGTAGTACATGTAGAGAAAAGTCCCTGAGCAGATTACTTCTGGACGGCACTGCGAGAGCATGAGAAAGAGAAAATTCTTAAAGGTTCCTTTGCCTTAGAGAATAGTACTCATCATTGTTGTGGAAGCTGTAAAATATCCCAACTGGAAATATATATCTGTGTTTTCATTATTAGGGGACCAGAGGTTAAATAGCTCACTACTACAAGCACTAATGGAAACTAATGCACAAGAATACTGCTCCATTTTGGAGAAGATGGACTTTACACTGTGGTATTTGGTCATATTACAAATAATTATTTCCTAAACAAAAGCAACAGTTTACAAGTATCTTGAAAACAGTAAGGACTGCAGATGGTGGAAGCTATAGTCAATAAATATGGAGCTGGAAAAGCACAGCCACTCAAAGCATCCGAGCAGGAAAAATCAACGTGATGAAGGATTTCGGCCCGAAACATTGACTTTCCTGCTCCTCGGATGCTGTCTAACTGGCTTCAAAACGTTGCTGGCTAGACCTTTAAAAAGGTATGAGCTCTATAATGAACAGGTTTATGTGGGAGGGTGGAGACAGGAAGGGGATGCAGATGTATTTCTCTCATTTGCTTTCCTGGGATCTACTCTGAAGAGAACAAAGAGCTAATGAATGTAGATAATTGTACAAAGTTACCAGAACACTATGGCCTACATGGTTAAATAGTATAGACAAACCAAGTCCATGCAACTGCAGAAAACTGAAGGACGATCAGATAGAATGTGATTAAAACGATTAAAGGAATCAATAGGATAGAGCTAAAGAGAAAAATACTTACATTGAGGGGGTGGGGGAAGGAAATCAAGAATGAAGAGTCATAATCCTAACCTAAGAGCTAGGGCAGCAGAATCAGGCAATACCTTTCTCCAACAAAAAAAGGTAGCAAAATGGTACCAAGGGAAATGAAGTGGAGGTACTAATCAGCTCCTCCTCTTCCTTGCATATCATAGTCTGAACATCAAAATCAAATAGATTTAGTAATTTGAACTGTAAAATGGATATAAATAATTAGTATAAATGTGTTAGACCATTTGCAACTGCATTGGTCTCTATGATGACTTCAGACTTGACACAAAAAATTAATGTCCCATTGCAAAAAAGGTAAAGGAAGAGAGTTGATATGGCCCATTCGCTGAGACTGATCATACTGTTAGTGTGTTTTTATTTCAAATCATTACAAACATCATATTTGCAATATAAATCATGTGAATAAAACTTGATTTTTTTTTTAAGCTACATACAGCTTTCTACCAGCTCTACCATTAAAAGTTTCCTGCAGTCGCTGCCTTTCCACATTGTCAGGGAGGGCATATGAAAATGTGGTAGCACAGAGTACAACAACAGAGTAAAACTGAATTACTGAAAGTGGAAGACATTGAGGTTAAAGACTACTTGATGTCTATGTTCTGGCTGTCCAGGAGAAGAACACTGTTATGGAACACCAAATAGAAGTGCTGGGAAATAAAGCAGCAAGGTGTCACACACATGAATTAGGAAGACAATACAACATTTCCAGATGAAGATCACAATTCTGACATCTGACTACCCAAGACCAATGTACTGTTCGAAATGCAGTACAGAGTAGCCTTGAGTAGCTCCACTGTTCACTGTGCTAAAGAACTGTGCACATTTAACAAAACCATGAGGTGAACAGAATGTGGACTGCTCAACATTGTTGCTCTCACCAAGCAGTAATGAGATTGTCTGACTGCTCAAAACTCCAGCTTTGTAGCAAATGAGTGAACAACTTCACAGTGTACAGTTATAACACTTCTAGTTTGTTCAATCATAAAACCAATATCATTTGACCCATTATATTAGTGTGCTACAGAAATTGACGACAAAGCTGGGAAATCTCAGATCAGACAGTTTGCAAGAAAACTGGTGAAAGAATATTTCAGGTCAATAGAACTGTGTTTGCCAGCATTTTTTGATTTATTAAGTTTGATTTCTAGTCTCTGCAGCATTTTGCATATTATTTTAAGATTGCACAATTTATGCCAATAGAAATATTGATTGTCCAGATAGCTTATAGCTTCTGAACTCCATCAGCCGCCAACCCAAACCCTAGGCGGACTACTCAGTTTACAGGGGCATGCTGCCACAGTACATTGGGATACAATTCCTATCCTACATTATGCATTGAGAAGTGTACACAAGCTTAATATAACAAATGACTCATTGTTCCACCAAATAAATTTCTTAATGCACCTTAAAAAGACAGGTGAAAACCAAAATAGACCAGATATTTGCAAATAGTCAGATTCAGTTTGCTCCAGAGTCTGTTCAGACTAAATAGGACTGGTTGAGAAAGAGACAGATTTTGTTTTAAAAAACCCATCACGGAATACAAATCTCTGAAGATGTCTTTGTTTTTACACCTTTGGTTTATTCAATGTTTATTGCACATGACAAAACAAGCTTGTGCCATTCTCAAAGTATATTCCTGGGAAATCTATATTTATTCAATGGTCCAGAATTGCTACACAGTTGATTCCGAGAATGAATTCCTCCTTTAAAATTCATATAATATTGAACTTTAGAGTGCAGTGGATGTGCCCAGAATGATCCTGCTCTGCACTTTACATTATGTACATGATTCCAGGAAACTACTTTTCACATACAACAGCAAGTATAAACCAAAAAGCTATGAAAAATTTCAAGACTAATCTTGTATCCAAACATGAGCTTTAACAGAAAGATACGCATAAAAATAATTGTGCTATTGGTAGATATTTTCTGATCAATCTGTTCCGAGAGTTTTGGAGCAGGTGGGACTTAAACCATTACCACTGGCCCAGAGGTAGGGACACTACCACTGCACCACAACAGCCCTTAGCTGTGCCATTTGTAGTTATTTTAATCATTCTGTTCAGACATATTATGACATATATCGGAGACATGTAGGACTTGAAATCCTCAGTAGGGGCATTATCACTATGGCACAAACTGTGTTATTTGTAGACTTGTACAAACAAACAATCTAAACATCAAAGGTAGGATCATTTGTCCCAATTATGAGATAATTTAGTAATTAGGATGGCAATACCTTTATCCCAAATCCTGCTCAACAGCTGGCAAACATCCGAGGCTCCTTAAATTTTTGTCCTAGGCCCTGAAAATTTGTCTAAATAAGTAAATAATTAACTTTTTCTTTATAAATGACAAGTTGCCTTTGGGTAGAAATAGAATCTAGGCAATCACCAAAAGTAACAGCAACGCTGAAATAAAATTTTGGGAACATTACAACATGCTGTAGCAAAACAGGATTTTCTGGCTGCTGCTTGTATACAAATATTGAAGGAAGCAAATCTCTGAGCCATCTTTCAGACAGATATTCTCAAGTATCTATTATGACTCTTGTAAAGAAGCAGCTTTACTCAAGCCCTCAGCTAAAGCAGCTAATCCTTTCCCAAATGTACTGGTCTTGGAAGCTGAACAGAGAAGCTGCATTATCATCAATTCCTGGGATGAATATTGTCCTACGATGAAAAGCTGAGGAAATTGTGTCTACACTCTCTGGAATTCAAACGAATGAAAGGTGATTTTATCGAAACATCCAAGATTATGAAGAAGCTTGGTTGGATAGGCACTGAGAAGTTGTTCCCTATGGTTCAAGAATCTAGAACACTGGCATAGGAGTCGAGGAAAAGGTGTCATATATTTTGCATTGAGATAAGACATTTCTTCCGAGGATTTTGATGCTTGGTGTTAATGCTCCATTGTTGAACATACTCAAAGCTGAGGTAGATAGACTTTTGAGCTCTTGGAATCAGAGGATGTTGGTAATAGACAGGAAAGTGCATTTCAGTCATATTAGCCATGCTTGTGTTGTATGGAAAAGGCTTTAGAGAAGCCACAAGATCTATTACTGCTCTTCTCTCTCATGTCCTTCAGAGCCAAGACATTGCGAGGTGATATTTGAAAGCACTTCACAATGAACAGAGAGTGTGGAAATCTGGAATCTAGTTTGGTTGGCAGTGTTGTAATGCCAGAATTTCCCTCACCTCTTGTGACTGATGAACACTAACTGGGTTTTGTTCGCCAGCCTAACTTATCAAATTTTGACAAAATGCTGGAAGGGTTGGAATTCTCAAGGCAGACCTTTTTTGGTCACCAAGCTCCGACATGAAAAGTTTCATCACAAAAATGCCTTACATTCTGATTAGTACACCATGATTCATCACTTCAATCAACTGCAAAATCCACTCATTGCACAAGAGACTGAAGCAAAAACGAATGTGGAACATAGCCAGGTTCCCTCGTTGAAAGATAATTGGATTCAGAGAGACCAGACAAGATTCCAATCAAAATCCTGATTGGATTTAAAATAATGCTCCTTAAGTTAGTCCCGTTGCCTCTTAGTACAAGACAGTATGGTATCAGACGTTAGCAGAGTTGTTAGTGTTAAAAATATGCAATAGGGCAGAAACAGAGAATCTACGTTGAATGAGAGAAAAGGAAGAATGAGGAAAACTACCCCTTTTTCATAAGAAGACTAGAGCTCATTACCAAGACACTGTCCCCAGCAGTCGTGGATACTGGGCATTAAATGCAGCATTTATAAAGTGAATGCACCAAGGATGCAGAACAGGTTAAAGAGGCTAAATAGCCTGCTCCTATTCTCATGTACATTTGCTTATAATGTTGTGCTCCACAAAATGTTGTGCTTTAACTTGGTTATTACTGGTTACTTTGTGCTTTAATGCAATCTTCTTGCCTCATATTGATTATAAAGCACAGCATGGAATGAAGATTAGTTGCAAAAATTTGAGTAAAACCGTTTTCCTTTAATGTGCATAGTACATAATTTATGAAGACTACCAAGCATAGACATGATGTTTTCTAAAGATGCAAAAATATAAATGGCAAAAGATGGCAAAAATGACAATAAGCAACAATGGCCTAGCCAATCCAAGTGATCCAGCCCCTTATACAGGGTCTATCATTGTGAAATAGTTGCTATTGATATTGCATGCAAACCATCTGCCATTTGTGTCAATATAACAACTAACTTTCAAATTAATTCAGTTGTGAATCACAATGGGACACTGAGCATATAAAAGGCACTAATATAATGCGAGTCTTTTATTCTTCAACATGTCCATCCCAACTCCACCCATTTTGCAAAACTGCCTCAGACAGGAGTCAGTCATTCCGTTTGATGAGAATATCTGCAATCAAGACTGGCTGATCAAGCTTACATTTGTAAATATACCACTAAAAAAAAAGTGAACCAAAAACAAAATGCAGAGTTGAAGAATAAACCAAGAGAATAGGAATGGAATCAACAGCTGCAATGTGGATCAACCAGCTGCACAGCTTGCTTCTGTGTTCAAATGCCTATGACTTGGAATTGGAGGCAAGAATCCCTACATTGGCTCACATGCTACATCAAAAACAACCGAGACATCCAACATCTGGGTCAGCACCAAGAATTACAAAAATATTGAAATGAGATGGTAGAAGTCAATGAGAAACTAAAGGAAAGTGGTTAAAATTTCCACTATAATTTCTGAAATAAGAAATGTACTATAATTTGAAAAGATAAGGAGTAAAACAGAAGTCCATTTTAACTAACAACCAGATGGTTCAAATTCCATGTTGGTCATTAAAATACATCTATTACTGATCAGACTAGGTCTAACTGGATCATCGGATGTATCATATGACTGTAACACTCATCTTCAGAGTGGATTCAGCCAGATCAGCAGACCATGGCACCCATTCTGATCAAAATGGGTTTGATCAATTCACTGAACTCATCAGTATACTGTAAAGAAAAGCAGAAGCCAAAAGAAAGAATGCATTGATCCAGAAAGCAAGTAGCATAGCTGTAAAAAGTGCGCACTGTTCCTCAATTATTGCCTCTCCTTTTTTTGAAGGAGGCAATGGGATCAAGAAAGGAAGGAACAACAAGGAGTACAAAATCAGAGATAAGGGAAATGTTTTAGTTTTGGAGTATCAAAATTGTATTCTAGTTAAAACAGTCTTGAAAACAACAGTGAGTCAGCTGTAGTTAACACTGCTGAGTATGTGTTGTGTTGATTTGTTTGGAACTATTGTTTGTTTGACAGATCAGAGTTCCACTAAACATCCCGTGAGCTATACTTGTATTTACTAATCATTTACACCTTACGTTCAAAAAAAGAACTGGTTTTCTCATAATCTACTTCTGCACACGTAAGAGCTTGAATTAACTGTTTAACATCACTGAAGAAAACTTGGAATGCTTTTAGTATGGAATTTGCACTGTTTGAGATATAGAAAATGAATATCCAGACAATTAACCTTTATCACTTCCTTCACCACAATTGTGTTTTCAGAAATGTGTCTTCTTCTGCTATGGAAAAAAACCCCTAAATTATCAGTCTAAATTATTTCTCATTCACAATGAGAAATGATTTTAAGTAAACCTGCATAGCAATGCAATTATTAAGAACATGACCAAAACAGGGTGTGCCCTCAAAGATGAAGTTTGGTTGTCAAGTGAGTAACAAATAAAATGGAAATATAAAACAAAAACATGAACAGACAGAATTTAACACCGCATTTAAGAAAACACAGTTCACAAAAGTTGTTCCACTCCATCAAATAAATTCCAGCAAAATTACACAAATGCCTCAACTGCACAAACTACCCTTTGGAAAACTGTACTTCATTCTTCACAGCCAAGTTTTTTTTTTCTGGAATCATTGCACTTTAGGCTCATCATAAACTGTTCAGTGTTTGGAAGGTTGCTTTGAAAATGTAAAATTCCTTTGCTCCTCATTTATGTGATCACACTGCATGACCACAGCAGACTGATCCTCCATGTGTAGACTAGCCTGTTTGACAGAATCCCTTTAAGATCAGCAACAGCACGTCATGACACCACAGGAGTCATATCCCAGAGCTGTGGGGAAGTACAATCAGAATTCTGGTTAACACATTTGCAAGATTCATAATGTTGCCTGCATACCGAGATCAATTAGATAACATTAATGCCCTGGAGTATTCTATCTCTAGATGGTTTCAGCCCCATAACTTGTTTCTCATGGTTTTTTTTAAAAATAAAAGGAACTCAACACTGGTGTAAGTAATCTAGAAACTTGGGACCAATAAAAGATGACCATGTTATTGAACACACATACCATTATTGGATTTAGCTGTGACATTTATCAGGAAATTGCTTGCATCAGCCACAGTTTATAACACAATCATTCAGGAACCATGATTTAAAACTTGTGTTAGACAACAAGTGGCTGCAACCTCCTGGAGTGCTAATGGAAGTTTGTTTATGCTGCAGGGTTAGAACAGGATAGATGAAACATGAAGCCATTCGCTTTAGCAGAATACAGTATGAGCATTTTTAAAGATTTATTTGAAAAGCTTTTGGTTCAGTTTGAACTGAAGTCAAATGCAAGTATAGTTTCTCATAGAAAATTATTTTCATAGCAGAGAAGGAAATAAAAGTTACCTCCGTGAAAGTGTAGTTTGAGAGACTTATAGATCAGAATAGAGTCACACAGCATAAACACACCTATCCAGATGCCTTTTAAATGTTCTAATTGCAGTGTTAGGACTCTGCATATTAGTAAGAGATGAAAATTATTAAGCTTACAGTTGAGAAAGTGGTCCAGGGAAAAGGCTTCATAGATCACAGGAACGGAAATGAGAATAAGCTGTTAAGTCATACCTACAGATGTGACGGGGGCAGATTTCTCAATTTTGATTCACTAAAGCAACAGTGGTGGGCAGTAGATAGGGTTTTGTTTTGCTGTGTGTTTTGAAATCTTATAAACTATTATATTTAGGCAGTTTGGTTTGTTATTTTTTGTGTAATAAACTTCTGTTTAATTGTTAAAGTCAAGTCAGCAGACTTGTGCTCTGACTATATCTCAAAAAAGACTAGCACATTACAAAGAAAAAAAAAAATCTGTCAAGCTAGATTTTATTCTATGATCTGGGTTATCCAGTCAGACCACTAGCTGGGAGCATTGTAAATATCCAGCACTATGCACGCTATTCCAGATCAGGTGGGGTCTACCAGTGACTGCAGCTGTACTGAATTTGGGGAAATTAAACTTCATACTTAAAAATAATTATGAAAAGAAATATTGTTAAATAGTGTCAGTTTCTTACAGCATGGAACGCAGCTCTTTGGCTCATTGTATCCATGCAGGTTAGCAAACATCCTTTTATCCTAGATAGTAGGAACTGCAGATGCTGGAGAATCCAAGACAACAAGGTGCAGAGCTGGATGAACACAGCAGCCTTCCTGCTCCTATGATGCTGCTTGGCCTGCTGTGTTCATCCAGCTCTGCATCCTTTTATCCTAGTCTCATTTTGTATCTCTTGGCCCATAGGATTTAATTTGTTAAAATTTGATGTAAATGAAATGCATATGTAAATGGAGCCAAGATTGAAATACAGATTTTGCAACACGGGCACTAATGTCCTACCATTGGCATTATCTTTATATGGCTCAATTTTGAAATCTTGCCTGAACTTAGACAACTTTTGAAAAAAATAATATTATGCGCCTACTATCTGATGAGCTACATTTTTTAAGATCCTAGGGAGACTTGTCAGCACACAGCTTGATCAATTTGCTTAGCAGCGCTTGCCTAATGAATGTGATTTCACCAATTTCCTCTCTCCCTTCATCTCCTGATTTACAGCTATTACTGAAATTTTTTTTTATCCTCTACAGTCAAGAAGCAAAATATGTTAATTCCATCCACCATACCTTTATTATTTAATAATAACTCTCTAGAAGATCATCACTCACTTCGCTTACTCTTTACCTTTTTAAGTGACTGTACAAACTCTCACTATCCATTTTTACATCTCTCACATCCTAATTTCTTCCTCCTGATTAACAGTGTACTCATTCCCTGCTGTTCTTTGTATTCAGACCAATCATCTGACCTGTTACTCATCTTTATAGAGTTGTATATATTTTCCTTAAGTGCGATGGTTTCCTCAACTTCTTTAGTGAACCATTGATTTTGTGTCATCCGCCATTCAGAATAAATGCAGTGCAAATTTAGTCGTTCTGAATACGTCCCTTAATATCTGTCACTGCGTCTTTGTTAATCTATCCCAGAGCCTAGTATACCAATTCACTTCAGCTGGCTCAGCTTTTGTTCCCATGGAGTCATACTTATCGAAGGTTAAAATATACATCCTTTACCCTAACTTCCCCCTTTCAAAATAAATACAAAACTCAGTCACTAATGGGGGTAACTTTGAGTATGCAGGTAAAATACCCCTTCTACAAACTCCACAATAATTGCCTTGTGCATCGTCGATCAGACTGTTGGTTTGTAGCTTTCTACCAGGAAAAGAAACTTTTGGGATCTCAAGAGATACCGGAGGTGAGAAGGAACAGTCATCACGCACCCTTACCTTGATAATCCGGTCATTTCCGGATGTCAAAAGCCAGCCTCTGGTTACATCATAATGCATGTGAACCACATGGTGCTTGCTGTCATGGAAAGTAGCTGTTGGTGCTCGACTACATGCAAATGAAAGAGTAAAAACATTCACAAATCCACAATCAGCAAAACCAAAAGTCAAAAATCAGATGTCTACAGGCAGATCAGCATCTGTAATACTCAAACATTAAAATAAAGATCCCGAATTCGCCATTTAGTGTTAGGGAAAAAAAACTGAGGGAAACTTCTGTGCACAATCTGTCCACAGATGCACAGTTAAACCAAAAATCCACAAGTTGCTGATCTCATGTTTCTCCAGAGGGTTGGCTGTTGATGTTCCCTCAAGAATTTAATTTAAAAATGACAGAGCTTCGACTCCTTTACTTACTTTCTCCAGGAAAATCCTTAAACAAGTTACATCTTTTCTTAAAGCACAGTTGCTACAAAGCAATCTTATTTTGATTAATTATCACCCAAAGAGGACAAAAACTTTCTAAAGTATTTTTAAAATATTATTTACATTTTGCTGCCATCTTATTAGTGAAAGAAATGGTTGGAATGCAGACACTATCAGCAAAACAGAAGAATTAGAAAGTCTTTCAACTCAATTTGCTGTTATTGAGGATACCTAACATGATTGATTACTTTTCTTGATGGCATCATTCATGCTGGTGATTTTTTTGACATGGTACTAAGTTTAAAAATGATCGCAGGAAAGAGGAAGATCGCTTCACAAAAAAACTTTTTGGGACAGTTTTCTTAAAAGTCAAACAGCAAGTGTCATTGCTTTGCCACTGACTGCAAGATTCGGCTCAATTTCTGGTCTCCCTTTCGACTCAAGGTGTTTTATCTTCGTATGTTACAACCACATTCCCCCACCTTTAGGATAACATAGAACCCCCACCTCAGCATCAACTTGAAGCTTCAAGACACCCATCATCGATCATCTGAAACACTCCCCCCAAACCCCAACCCTTCCATTTTTTTTAGCTCTGCATAAAAGTTGATCATATTCACAGCCACCTGTCTTACACATTCTACAGGTACAATCACAGTTATAGGATCATGGAATCCCTACAGTGTGGAAGCAGGCCATTCAGCCCATCAAGTCTGTACCAACTCTCTGAAGTGCACCTTGCCCAGACCCCCTCCCCATAACCCTGCATTTCAGATGGTTAATCCATCTAGCCCTCGCATCTTTGGACTGTGGAAGGAAACCGGAGCACCCGGAGGAAAGCCACGCAGACACCGGGAGAATATACAAATTCACACAGATAGTCACCCAAGGCTGGAATCGAACCCCAAGTCTCAGCTCAAACCACTGAGTTACTCTGCTGCCCAATCAAGGCCCTCTCCACTGTCCAGAATCTCTACATATCTCTCGAACATCACGTCTTTCACAATATCCTCTTCAGGCAACTCTCCCAAGTCACTAACAACTCAATTTCTAAGTTTCAAACGCCTTACCCTTTAGCCCTCTAGTCAGCTGAATTCTTAACTGTTGATTTGCTTTTCAAATCCCTCACCTCCACCTTTAATGTCCTTATTTGCAGGAAAAATTTAGAGTTTCTCCAATTTTGGCCATGTCCACTGGTCGAACCCCATCTTCATTGCCTAAAGTTACAAGGAAACCCAGTTTCATCTACTGAAAGATGGTACGCACAAGAACTATATTCAGTTCTTCTATACTTCTATATATTCAGCGCTATACTGAAGTATCGATCTAGATTAGTGTGTTATTCAAAGCAATTCACAAATTTTCCAGCTGAGCTGTGACTGCTCAGTAAATTTGATTCCGTGCACAAAATGGCCCCTCTCAATTAAAACTGATCTTTAATTTGAAATAAAGGCACATAACGTAGTTTGGAATCATCACATGTCTAAGGTACTTTTCCGGTTTTGATGTGTTCCAGACATTCTCCATCAAGTGGAGCTTAATCAAAACCAAGCTGCCTATTAATTATGTCGACAAAAGATGGGGAATTGTAAGCCGGTTAGCTTAACTTCTGCAGTGGGGAAATGCTCGAATCTATCAAGGAAGAAATGGCAAGACATCTAGATACAAATTGTCCCATCGAGTAGACGCAGCATGGGTTCATCAAGGGCAGGTCATGTCTACCTAATTTACTGGAATTCTACGAAGACATTATGAGAGCAGTAGATAACGGGGACTCAGTAGATGTGGTGTATCCAGATTTCCAAAAGGCATTCGACAAGGTACTGCACAAAAGGCTGCTGCATGAGATAAAAGTGCGCGGCATTACGGGCAATGTATTAGAGTGGATAGAGGATGGGTTAACTAACAGGAAACAAAGAGTGGGGATAAGTGGTTAGCACTGCTGCCTCACAACGTCAGGAACCTGGGTTCGATCCTGCTCTCGGGCGACTGTCTGTGCGGAGTTTGCACATTCTCTGTGTCTGCGTGGGTTTCCTTCCACAACCCAAAGACGTGCAGGCTAGGTGGATCGGCCATGCTAAATTGGCCACAGTGTTCAGGGATGTGTAGATTAGGGGGATGGGTCTGGGTGGTATGCCCCGAGGGTCGGTGTGGCCGTGCTGGGCTGAAGGGCATGATGATGATGATAAAAAAAGAGTGCTTTTCTGCTGGCAATCAGTGTTGGGACTGGAATTGTTTACAATTTACATAGATGATTTAGAGTTGGTGACCACGCATAGTGTGTCAAAGTTTGCAGAAGACACGAAGATGAGTGGTGGAGCGAAGTGTGCAGATCACTCTGAAAGTTTGCAGAGGGATATAGATAGTTTAATTGAGTGGGCAACGATCTGGCAGATGGAGTACAATATTGATAAACGTGAAGTCATCCATTTTGGTAGGAATAACAGTAAAAAGGACTATTATTTGAACGGTAAAAAATTGCAGCATACTACTCTGCAGAGGGAGCTGGGTGTCCTTGTGCATGAATCGCAGAAGGTTCGTTTGGAGGTGCAACAGGTAATTAAGAAAACAAATGGAATTTTGTCCTTCATTGCTAGAGGGATGGATTTTAAAAGCAGGGAGGTTATGTTACAGCTCTACAGGGTGCTGGTGAGCCCGCACCTGGAGTACTGCGTGCAGTTTTGGTCTCCTTACTTGAGAAAGGATGTACTGGCACTGGAGGGGGTGCAGAGGAGGTTCACTGGGTTGATTCTGGAGTTGAGGGGGCTGGCTTATGAGGAGAGACTGAGTAGACTGGGATTATATTCATTGGAATGTAGAAGAACGGGGGGTACCTTTGTAGAATCACAAAATTATGAAGGGAATACACAAGATAGAAGCGGTGGGGGGTGGGGGGAATGTTCCTACTGGTGGGTGAAACTAGAACCAGAGGGCACAGCCTCAAAATTAAGGTGAGCAGATTTCGGACTGAATTGAGAAGGAACTTCTTCACGCAAAGGGTTAATAATCTGTGGAATTCCCGGCCCAGGTGAAGTAGCTGAAGCATTCCCATTGAATGTTTTTAAAACAGAGAGATAATACCATTACTGTTCAAAATATTAAGGGTTACGGTGAGAGGGTGGGTAAGTGGAGCCAGGGCCACGACAAGATCAGTCATGATCTAATTGAATGGCGGAGCAGGCTCAAAGAGCCACATGGCCTACTCCTGCTCCTGGTTCCTATGTTCTTATACCACCACTTAAGTTTAACTGTAACTTTTCACTATACTTACTCTTCATCTGTTATTGATTCAAAGCAGCCATCACAGACCCTTACTTCAAACTCAAATCCCATCAATGGAATGGAGGACCGCTTTGAGCTGCACTTCCCACACAGAGCTTTCCCACATTTTCTGCAATGGTGCTAAAGGGAAACAGATAAAGACACAGCATATTACAACCAGGCCTACCACAGATTCATGAAACAAACAAAATCTGTATTGAAATTTGGCAAAAAAGCTTCTAGTCCTAGCTGAAGCTTTTCAGGCTGACAAGTTTAAATAATGAGGATAGAACATATAGCCTAAGTTTGTATGCCCCTGAACTCAGAAGATCCAAGGATGATTTAATTGATGCACTTAAGGTAATTAACAAATCTGAAAGGGTTGACGAACTAATTTATTTCCTGGGAAAACATGGACAAAAGGCATTCCCTCAAAATATTGTTAATTTGTTCAGAGATGAGATCAGGAAGCAAAAGCAGTGGAAGTCTGAAATTCTCTCCTCCAAAAAGCTTTTCACACTGGGAATTAACTAAAAATTACAAAATGGGATTGAGAGAATTTTGTTAAAACAAGGATATTAAAAGGTACTTGAGGTAGTTTGAAGTTTAGAGTTCAAAGGTGAATGACTCACTTATGTTTCTCTGTCTGAAAATATTAGAATAATCTTTTGTTGAAAGTAAAATTATGTTGACTATGGACTCAGGAGGTGCCGTAAGACTAGAGAACTGCAAACATCACAGCCTTGTTCAAGAAAGGTTGCAAGGATAATCCCAGAAATTACAGACCAGTCAGTTAAAAGGAAAGCTTCTAGCATTAATAATTTGGGATAGAATTATTGTCACAGAGAAATGTGGGTTGATTTGGAATAGTCAGCATGGATTTCTAAAGGAAAAGTTATGTTTAACCAAGTCACTGCAGTTTTTTTTTGGAGATGTAATAGAAAGGCTTGATAGTAACACTGTTGACAAGTTGTACATGGATTTCCAGAAGGCATTTGACAGTATCACACAACAGACTTGAGAACAATTGTAGGTCACGGTATTAAAAAGGACAGTAGCAATGTTGATACAAAATTGATTGAGATATAAGAAATAGAGGGCAACCATCAATGGTTATGTAATGGCCTGGAGAAAGGTTTCTAGTAGAGATCCTGTGGGGCCTATACTTTTCCTGATATTTATTAATGATCTGGATCTTGGTGTGCAGGAGACAATTTCAAAGTTTGCATATGACATGAAACTTGGAAGAATTGTAAACTATGACAGCGTGGAACTCCAAAAGGACATTGAGAAGTTGGTAGGATGGGTGGATGGGTAGCAGAGAAGGTTCAATGCAAAGAACTGTGAGGTATTGCACTTTGGTGGGAAGAACACAAAGACAATACAAATAGGGGGTACAATTCTAAAGGGAGTGAAGGAGTAGAGGGGCATGGGTGAACTCCACGTGCAATCGTTGAAGGTGGCAGGACAGGTGAAGAGAGCTGTTCATAAAGTGAACTCGGCTTTATTAATAGGGACATAGTACAAGAACAAGGTGGTGATGTTCAATTTGTATGAGACACTTGTTGGACCTCAGCTGGAGTAGTGTACAGTTGTGGGTGCCACATTATAGGAAATAAGTGATCGCATTGGAGAGATTCCAGAAGCAATTTACTGGAATGAGGAATCAAGGAATGAGAAACTTCAGTTAGGAGGATAGATTGATGAAGTTGGGACTGTTCTCCCTGGAGAGAATGCAGTTGAGAGGAGGTTTAATAGAGGTTTTCAAAATCACGAGTCAGCTGGTTAGAGTAGATAGGGAAAAGTTGTGACCACTCGTAAAGGAAGAACGAGAGGGCATAGATTTAGAATGACATGCAAAAGGAGCACGGGTGATGTGAGAAAAATAAAATTAACACAGTGAGTAGTTAAAGTATGGAATGCACTTCCTGGAAGCAGGAAGGCAGGTTCAATTGAGGCATTCAAGACAGCATTGATTGATTATTTGGACAGAAAAAGTGTGCAAAAAGAGACTGAAGCCAGGTAATGAAGCTTATTTGAAGAGCTGGAGGAGACACATTGGGCTGAATGGCCTTATTCTGTGCCATAAGAATTCTGTAATAATCGACTTGAATTCCAACCAGGAGCCAGATCGGACTTGGAGTGTTAACTTTGTTTCTCTCTCAACAGATGCTGCCAGACCTGTTGAGCTTCTTTAGCACTGCCAATTTTATTCAAGTAAAATTGACTGACAGCACAAATGAACATAAAATTCACCTATGCAACCTGCACAATTTTAGACAGATTAAATTTTTTGACCCCTAAATACGAAAAGCACAGTTGTAGTAGCTTTGCTGGCATATTTCATCTGCTGAACACACTGACACAAAAGATCATAATTAGAAAAGGTCATTAAACTCATCACAAGCATGTGTTGCTCATTTTGTTTACTTAGGAATCAAACGGACCAAATTGATCAAAAAAATCGGTTCCTTGAATGAAGCAAAACAGTTAAGAACTAAAAGCAGACTGCTTGCTTTACTGAGCAAGATGTTGACAAGTGTTCAGAATGTTATATTCAAAGGTTGTGTCTTACTATGCTAGATCAGAGATGACTGTCAATTGTATGTGGTATTACGATTAGGAAACAATATTTTTCAGGGCACAGACAGAAGGATCAATTTTGATCTTGAATATGGAAAACTGCAGCACGAAACTGCATTTGTGCATCTGAAGAAGGGTCTAGACCCGAAACGTCAGCCTTCCTGCTCTTCTGATGCTGCTTGGCCTGCTGTGTTCATCCAGCTCTACACCTTGTTATCTCTGATTCTCCAGCATCTGCAGGTCCTGCTATCCCCAAAGACTTTATGACTAATCTGTTTGAGTCAGGTGAAATGATGATCAAAGCAGCTCTTTCAATTTTCAGTTACACAAAGACAACTGAAATGGAGCACATCTGATGCAATTGCTGAGCTTGGTTATGTTCCTTCACAATATACTATGGGACCTTCCTACAGACAAGAAGAACAAAGTTACTCTATTCAATATACTTGGCATTCATTCTGAGCTGATTAACTCTGTTTCTCATGTGAAGTAATTTAACTCAAACCAAATTGTCACCATAACAATAAAAAGGTTGTAATATATGCCCAAACCAAGAACAGTAATGGCTAGAATCTGTAGCTCGCACATTACACACAACACCATTCAGAGTAGCATCGTTTTAATCAAATCCCAAAGACCCCAAATCAAGGATATTTAAACTGTCAACTTTATCATACTTTCCTCCACTCTTCTTTGTCTCTCTCCCTCCCTATTAATTTCCATCACATCCCCTTTTTTGCTTCTCCTTTCATTTCCTTCTGTTTAATTTCAAGACTCAGGAGAGTGAACAACAGGCAGAAATAAAAGAGCAAAAAAAAAATGGCTTAGAGCTCAATGGGAAGGAATGCTGGATATTCAAGCTCAGAAGGACTGTTTTTCTGACTACTTCATATGGGCTTACTAAGTTTCATCAAAAACTCTCTTCCTGCTTTCGCCAAAGACAAGGTCAATGCTTCTCAACATACTAAAAAGCCATTGGTTAAAAACAGCTCGAGTGCCTGTGGGAAGTGAGATTGCAGTAACGCAAGTTTTGAGGTCTGTCATTGAGGATACAGAGTGACTGAACACCTTGAAATATTCAGTTGAAGCAGCATGGATTTCTAAAGCATACACAATGGTCAGTGAAACTGATTGAATTTTTTGAAAAGAAGTGAAAGAAGTCATGGAGGAGGGAAAGTATACAGATGTTAGTTATTTGGACTCTCCAAAGATATTTCATAAAGTCCCGCACAAGAGACTGAAAATCACATATCCAAGTTTACCAGTAGCACAAAATCAGTGTCATTGAAAGCAGCATAAATGAAAGGATAAAATTGCAAAGTAGTATTAATAGATTAAGTGAATGGAAAAAAAAAAAAATATTTTATCACAGGCATGTGTGAGGTTATCTACTTTGGCCATTCAAAGGATAGATATTTTTAAAATCATATTAAATCAGAAGCAGGGCATTTAGAGGTGGTTTAGGGATCCATGTACTTGGATTAAAATGTCACAATCTTTAACACAAACTTCTGCCAGGTGCAGAAAATAACCACATTTAGAGGAAACTTACAGCCAGGATTTTCAGGAGTGAAGTTACAAACATTTCTATATAGAGTGGTAGAAGTTTGAACTTTTCTTAAGCAAGTGGCAGGAATACAAAATCAATTATGAATTTAACAAGTGAGATTGATTGGATTTTGTCACATAAGGAAGAGGACAGAGAAAGTGAGAAAGAAGTCTTTAAGAAGTGAATTCTAAAGCTTAATGAATTGGCCACTGAAGGCAGGATCACCAGCCAATGGTGGAATAATTAAAAAGTAAAAAGGCCAGAACTGTTGCCAAGCATGGGGATTATAGATTTGGTGATTACAGAGATATAGGGCTGAGGGGGCGGGAAAGATTGTAAAACAATTATAAGAATTGTAAAATCGGAGTGTGGTTAACCAGGAGTCAATGTAGATCAAAAAGCACAGGACAGACGGGTGAAAAGGAGCTGCTTTGAATCAGGATGCAGGGTAGCAGTTTCAAATGATCAATTTTGGAAGTAGAACAAAGAATGCTAACCAGAACAATGTTGGAAAAGTCTAATTTAGCAGTAAGAAAACATGAATGAAGGCTATAGCAGCTGGTAAGTTGAGGCAAGAACACAGTTAACCAAATTTACTGATGTGGAAATAGGCAGTTTTACTGATGGTGTGGCAGTGCGGATGGGTGGTGACCTTCATTTAAATACGACAACAAGGTTACAAAGTTTGGTTCAGCCTCAGGCAGTTGTTAGTAATAGAGATAGAGTCTGTGGCAAGGGAGTAGAGTTCATGGAGGGATCAAATATTCTATTTCCAGAAATACTGGTTGCAGGAAATTTATTCTTAACTGTCAACTTGTCTGTCTGATATCCAGTGTAGAGACCATCAAGCAGTCAAGAAAGGTGGAGGTGATAGAGAGTTGGGTCATATCTGTGTGAACGGGAAAAGTGATTTCAGATGATTTACATTTTCATTATAAAGAAGGCAGGATTGTTAATGGTGCTTTAGAAGTCATATCCTTAAGTCCAGTTTTGTCAAAGTAGTGCCCGTCATACAACTTCTCTGATAGCCACTTATTGGTTAATACTGCACCTCCTGAAATGGTGAGTACAAAATGAAAATGCATAGTAAAAAGTGAAAAACATCTGTACGGACAAGGTTTTCACTTCAACAAAGAGAAACTCAAGATTGTGCTTGGAATACTAATCTGAAAGTTACTTTATTTTTTTCAATGCATAGGCACTAGAAAAAAAAAAGACTATAATCAATGATGTCACACGAAACCATGGATGATTCAGTTCTAAATCTACTTCCTGGTGGGAGTCAAAAACATTGGCCATTTCTTAATTTGTGCAAACTCAGCTTTGGAGCATTTAGTTTGCCATTAGGGTAAAATTCACAATTCTGTGCAATCTTGCAAATCAAAAATTTCAGTTAATTGCCTACTGGTAGGGCAAAACATCATTTACCATTGTTTATGGTTCAAGGAGGATGAATGGTGCAAAAGCCGTAAATTAGGGAAACACTCATCCACTCAATACATGCTAAGGTATCTCCCTTGTCTTTTGCAGCCTCATATCAGATATTCTCACGTAGATGTGTCCTCCAGGGAGGGGGAACACAACTTATTTTACTCTACGCTAATTTGTGACAAACCACGATCACATAGTTCTTCAATGCTTTGTCAGGCTGCCTTAAGGCAGAAATACTGAATGGAAACAAAAGTACTTGGGAAAAGGAAAGGAAGGCCAACAGAGCTGTTTTCAATTTCCAGCAGATAAGTGCAAAAATCTATTGGCAAAACCAGAATACTAAAACTGCTTTTTGTTTTTGCTCAAAGGGTCTCAAGAAGGACTGATACTAAAAAAACAAGCTAATGGTCCACTTTAGGTTTGCAAATACCACTCAGAACATTACCTCTATTATGAATAGTCAGTCTTATTACACTGATCACCTGAATAGGCATTCACATTTTACCAATGTATTGTTACCAAAAATAGTAGCTCAATACAATTGTGAGCCTATTTTCAATTCAAAGCACCATTCTACATTATTCCAAATACAAAAAATCATTAGCTGTCTTTTTTTCATTGCATTGTATATTATTAGTTCTGCTCCCAATGAGGCATAGATGAATTCTGATTTCCAATAGATTATTGGGGCAGCACATTTATATTTGGCTCTGTATTACGCAAACTTTAATGCAAATTAGAGAACTTACACTGGAGGCCACCTTACAATAAAATAATTTGCATATACTTTTTTGTTCTTACATAGTAAATGTTGCATACCTGTCTCAAGCCAATTTTCTTACTGTCCCACATTTGTTTGAAGTTCCAGAAAAAAGGCTGGTCACATTTCTGGCAGGAATCACTATCTAACCAATCAGGAGTCTAACATTAAAATGGACAGAAAAAAAAAAGAGTTAGTCGATTAAAGGCAACTCAAAAGCTTTAAGTTCAGGGTGTAAGCACTATTCAGGTAAGCACTCCTGGATGACCATTAGAATTTGAAATTAAAAAGGGAGGATTGTTCTGCATCCTGTTTTGCCACTGATCACAAGGGTATTTCATTGCAACCGTCTGAAGAGAGCACAGGACTCTGATTCTACAATGTCTACTCCAGTAATATTGGAATACAAATACTGTTATAGCCAAGAGACTTCAATTTTGCACTTCATTTAGATGCATTGAATCCAGCAGTTTTCAATAGGGCCTCTTGACAAACTACATTCAGACAGACATGTAATGTTCCAGAATGGAGCTTGAAAGCTGTCACAATTGATCTACAACTTTCATTCAAACAACAATCTTTCTTGTCTGACCCTAGCACAGAATACAAATTTTTTATTGGCTGAAAACTGATCCAATGTAATGTTTGTCAGTGGCCCCAAACAAACCTGAAGCTAGTTGTTTGCATTTTGCATTAAAATAAAGCAGAGGGTCAAAAACACTCACATTTATAAAGCATTTTTTCACAACCACAGGATATTCCAAAGTGCGGTGTAGTGGCAGAGGCATTCTCTTTGTAGTGGAGTCAGTCTTGGAATGTAGGAAATGCAGGAGCCAATAAGGATTTATTGCTCTGAAGGAGATAATGGTAAGCTGCCTTCTTGAGCTGCTGCAGTCCTTGGGATGTAAGGATACCCACAGGGCTGTGAGGGAAGGAATTCCAGGATTTTGACATAGCAACAGTGATAAACTGCTAAGACAGGATGGTGTGAGACTTCAAGAGTACCACGACCTGCCAGATCCCCTCAAACATCCTTGTGCATTCAAGTGATAGAGGTCACAGGTTTGCAGAGTGCTGTCAGAGGATTAGGTGGACGGAGAGAAGATAGTAAATACACTACCACCAATCCTACATGAAAATATGGCTTCATCAACTGAAAAGCAAGAGGTAAGCTAGACTAGCCACTCCAAATATGCTCTCTTGTATTTTGCGAGTCAAGGTCAATCTCCACATACAAACCAGAAGATTATCAAAGTACAGGAAAGAAAATACTGGCAACACGGGAACATGTGAAGGTGGCATGGCCCTTTCCCAAACCCTCACTTAAAGAATGACATCTGCACAATCATTATATCTGCTTTATCCTGGATGCTTAATACAGTATTCTGAAAGAATGCAGCAAGAGAAAAGAACTAAAGCAGTCATGCATCGAGAATATGAACATCCAGCTAGTAATTCTGAGCACAGAGGATGAACTACATTTAAAGATTGAAGACATCACACATCCCGCTGCGGTTGATTAAATTAAAAACATAGCTCCAAAACAAAACTAAGATATGGAGATGGAAATATCGGATTTAAGAACGAGGCCAGCTTTAAGCACCAGAAAACTTGCCACTTTGAGCTGTCAGTTCAAGACAATGCTGCGCTAAGAGAGGGTACATGTTGTGCTCCGTAGCCACTTCATATTGTCAATACGGAGGTATAATTTACAAATTTCTTCCAAAATAGCCATAATGCAAATGGAATTACCATCAACGTCTTATGGTAGCCCTTGACAAAATTTTCTCCCCTCCCTCGAGAATACAAACTCCATTTATCTTTGGACTCACAAATGCAAGTTACACTCAATGTCTCAAGAAAAGGCTTTCATCACTCGCAAGCCTTGACAATGTGGAAACTGTTTCAAATTTCTTTTTCTGTGTCTACTTGCCAAATTTTTATGTCCTTGTACAATTTTCTGCTCACTTCACAATTTACTATGTCTCTTTGCTTATTAGGAAGTGTTAAAAAAAAATGTTAATACCATTTATTCCCAAATACAGGGTAATTTACCTGTGGAGTGAAAAACTGGGGGCATCGCTTGTCACAGTCAGTCAGTTGGAGAATTTTCCTTTTACCTCAACTCGTGTCTGCCAGTTTCCCAATAATACAAAAACACAAACATCTGGAGGATTCAGGCACCAACGGTCAAGTCTTTCTGCCCTCCAACTGTTCACTGGATGTTTTCCATGACTGTATTAAGCTGCAGTGTAATTCAATGTCGCTTTTAATTTTTTTTTGTGTGATCTCTTCATTTCCACGCATAAAACTGTTAATTTGTTTTGCATTGTATCTTAAAAGGAGAGAACTTGTGAGTAGACCCTGCAATTCTTATGCACTTACGCAGCTTTGAGGGAACAATGCTGTAAGCTGAATTCAATGCTCTGGGTCAGACACAGGTGTTTGCTTCATAATAGGTTTTACTGAGATATTTGGAGGCGGATGGGGGAGGGGTTAGTGCAATGTTAAAGGGGTAACTGCTTTCAAAAATCATCAACAAGCCAAGGAAAGTGGAGATGTGCACAACATTAAGACTGCATAGTTTCCCAATGCAACCAGCTGTGTTTTCTGTTTGTTCAGACCTAAAGCACCAGAGAAATCTTTTCTCCTGTAAGGCCTTAACCGTTGGGAAATTTAGCCCAGTTTAATTTTAGGTTTAGAAGCCAAATATTTTGAACATTTCAGAACAGATGCACACCAAGTCAAATGTCTGACGAACTTATGTTTCATCTTACAGATTATAATTCACCTCCACATCCTTTCCCCGCACCTGCAAATATCCACAGTCACCTTATGGGTTTCAGTGTGTACATGGAACAGCATTGTTCACTGCAAACCATGAAAAGCCACGAACCTGAAAAGACTTGCATTAAATTGAGGGACAAACTCAAAATGAAGGATTATATTTTGGGTACACAAATTTTTGATTAAAACAACTAAAATGCAAGGGTTTGTGAAAAAAAGTTGATAACTTCTAAGAAAATATATTCATAAGGCAGTTTTAAACAATCCATTTGTTAATACACAGTTTAAACAAACAAAAACTTATGCTGTTTTTTAGCATGCGTGATCCAGCACGTTAGTCCATTTGCTATTTATATTAGGAAGGACTAGTTGTGATGGGAAGCTGTTGCTTTAATGAAACCATATATTCCAGTTAGAGCATATGCTTGCTATAAGTCTCATATGTACATTTTTAAACTGGTATCTCTGCCCTCAACACTCCCAGATACACTTGCTTCTGACTGTTTTTGCTTCTTTCATCGGTAAATTGCCAACAGCTTTATCACTGCTTGTTACTCTCTATAGCCTTATTTGCTTGATGGCAAAGGAACGACATCTACTTGCAGCAAAGAAAACTATGCTCCGAGTATCTAAAGTCAATTCAACTATACTACAGTCCTGATTTGGAACACAACTAAAAGGGGACAGAGGCAGGTAAATAACTTAATTGAACTGCCGCTCCATACAAACACCTGAGCATATTAGTTAACAGCAGAATGTGTGGAGTGCAATATGTAATGCCAAATCTCATTGCTCAATCAGTGGGAGTTTTCTTAATTAGTGCACAGAGTAAGTTAACCTGAAGTACTTGGAATTATGAAATAGTTAGATGAATACCCACAGCACTCTCGCAAACTAAAGCTACATTTCTTTTTAAACCCATGTCCAGACTAGTCCAAAACATAAATCACCACACTTAAAATTGGCACTACTGGACTGGCTAAAAGGAGCCACAAAAGCATACTGAATGTCTCTAGTTCCCATGCTCTGTGCTTGTTTATTTGATGGGCAAAGTGCCTGTATTCCTGAATTGGTGCTCCAGAGATTACAAATTCAGCAACAGAAACTTCCAGACACAGGCCTCTCATTCAACTATTCTTTAACAGGTACACTGGAAAAACGATTCATCATTTCCAAAAATCCAGCATTGTTTTTCTTGTTAATGATAAATATCCTGACCCAAGCTTTAAAAGATAAAACCTGTCATTTAAAAAGTCTAAATACGTTGAAAGCTGTATTGTACAAATATCACAGTAACGTTCATTTAGTTGAATAAGATCTTTGATACTTTCTCTTGGGGGGTCAGCTGGATGTCTAACAAGCACATTCAAGTATTGAGAAATCTACATAGAGCCACAATTTTGATTTGGACATTTAACCAAGGCAGAAGAATGCAGAAGCAGATTAACAAGAGCCAAAGCTTTAGGGCAGAAAAGTGTTCAAGATTTGAGCGAGCTAAATCCAGAAAATGGGAGTACTGTCCAAGTTCGACAGTTTGATTCCAATTTAAAAAAACCTCAAAATAAAGAGTTGATTTCAGTGAAGATGGACCTTAAACTATAAAATGAACATGACTGCCCTAGTTCCCAAAAGGGAATGCACTTGACTGGTCAAAGAGACAACCTATTCAGTTGAAGGGAGTTAACAATTGAGGAGCTATTATGCCAATCACTGCAGTTTTTGGTCACTAAATAATTTGAAGTAGTTAAAAGAGGGGATTGGCAGAGAGATTACGGAGGGACGCACGAAATTTACTGGTAATGGAAGGCAAAAAAAACTACTGTAATAATGACTGAGCAGTGACTGTTAAGAGCAAAGAATAGGAATTTCTCACATATGTGCAGGAGAATTTGTCTCATTGGCATGTTTCTTGCTCAACAAGGGAACAGGCAATGCTCGATCTGTTGCAGGTTCACAGTTCCTTTAAAGTGGAGTCACAGGTAGATAGGATAGTGAAGAAAGCATTTGGTATGCTTGCTTTTGCTGGACAATGCATTGGGTATAGGATTTGGGAGGTTTATGTTGCGGGTGTACAGGAGATTGGTTTGGCCACTTCTGGAATACTATGTGCAATTCTAGACACCCTCCAAAAGAAGGATCTTGTGAAATTTGAAAGGTTTAGAAAAGATTTACAAGGACGTTGTTAAGGTTGAAGAGTTTGAGCTATAAGGAGAGGCTGAATAGGCTGGGGCTATTTTCTCTGGGGTGTCGGAGGCTGAGAGGTGACCTTATAGAGGTTTATAAAATCATGAGGGGCATGGATAGGGTGAGTGGACAAGGTCGTTTCCCCGAGGTGGGGTGTCCAAAACGAGGGCATAGGTTTAAGGTGAGAGGGGAAAGATATAAAAAGGGACCTGAGGGCAAAGATATAAAAAGGGACCTAAGGGGGAACATTTTCATGCAGAGGATGGTGTATATATGGAATCAGCTGCCACAGGAAGTGGTGGAGGCCGGTACAGTTACAACATTTAAAAAGGCATTTGGATGGGTATATGAACAGGAAAGGTTTAGAGGGATATAGGTGAAATGCTAACAAATGGGACTAGATTTATTTAGGATATATGGTTGGCATGGACGAGTTGGACCAAAGGGTCTGTTTCTATGCTGTTTCCATCGCTATGACTCTAGTCCTGGAGAATGTTATGGATCAAATGGGAAACATCTTGGGAATAGTTATATCATAAACTTCAGATTAGTTATGGAAAGGGGCTAATTTCAGTGAATTGAAGAGAAATCCAGGTTAATTCAGGGTGAATACTGGCAAGCCAAAATGTAAAAGAGCTCAGATGGACATTTCAGAGATGCTTTGGGTCTACTCTAAGTATACTTCCAGGGGAATAGGTGGGCAGCCAAAGCCAGAGCGCCCAAGGCAAAGAATTTTGACTCGGATAAAGGCGAAAAAAGTAGTGGATGTCAGACATCAGTGAGATAATACAAGGCTGAATGTAATAAGTGCTGAAATGAGGAAAGGAGATCTGGAGACAGATCAAAAATAAAACACTGGCTAACACAGCACAAATCCAAAGATCTTCTAAAAAGCACATTAACAGTAAAAGGATAGTCAAAAGAGGAGAAGGAATTAGGGAGTATTAGTGGAGATGGAAAACAGAGATGAGATATTAAATGAGTAGTTTGCATTAATCTTTGCACCTAGGTCAAAGCTTCAGCCAAAGCTGTGGTAAACAGTGGGTTGCCAGGATACTACTAAAAATATATAAAGACAGGTAACTGGACAGCTCAAAGTAGATAGGTCATGACGTTCAAGTGGGATCTTTCTCACTGAGCAAAGTCAGTGTAAAAGTCACAGCAATGCTACTGCAATTCTCCTCAGAAACAGGGCTGCTGCCAAAGAACTGGGTGATTGCAAATATAACATCCTTGTTCTAAAAAAGGACAGGTAAATTACCCAAGAGCTGAATTGCTCTTGCAAGAGCAGGTACAGACATGGAAGGTGAAGTGACCTCGTTTTGTGCTTCAGATATTTTATTCCAGACTTTCTAATTAACCTGTTCAGAGATGTTATTACACACCCCCGGAGCTGGCGGGAATTGAACCTGGGACTCCTGGCTCAGAGGTCGGGACACCAGCACTGTACCTCAACAGCCCAATTCTGTCACCATTCCTTGATTGTGTAATCCTGGCAATTACAGAACAATCAATTCAAGGTAGGTGGCAGCAAGGTCTTAGAAAGAAAAACCCTGGATGAAACTAATCATTTGAAAGATATGGATTTTTAATAAAGAAAAGATAGCATGGATTTATTAATTGGACAGACATGATTTGAGTTTTATTTTGATGAAGTAAAAGAGGTGGCGTACAAAGCAGTGCAATTGATGTTCTGCGAACATACCTTCAAAAGGTGATTGATAAGCTACCACATATAGGTTCATTAGAAAAATTGAAACCAACGAATAAAAGAGATATTAGCATCATGGATATTAAATTGGTTACTGGTAGAAAACACTTATGGTAAATGGCTATTTGCTTTGTACAGGAGAGGGGTATATACTGGCCTTTCCCATTAAGTATTTGGACCAATGCATTTTAATACATATTAGTAACTTAGTCTTTGGGGTACCGGGTGCAATTTTGCAATGTACAGATGACAAAACTTGTATGCAAGGTAAATAGTGAGGAGAACTGCAACTGGTTTCAACAGGACAAATGGCAGCTAGTGGAACGCAGATACATCGCTGATGAAATTCAACCCAGAAAAATGTGAATTAGCTAGTTTTGGTAAGAATGACTAATTGTAAAATTGATGGGGCAAACAAATGCCTGTGATAACTTGCACACAAATCTTGCAAACCGGTAGGACAGGTCAACAAGCAGTTAACAAAAGCATAAAAGGGAGTCAGGGTGTTAAAGACAAAAACATGATTATAAAACACAAGAGCAATGAACAGTTATTATGCTTCATGGGATGTGAGCATCACTGGCAGGGAACGGAATGGCTTGCTCGGTCACTTCAGAGGGTAGTTAAGGGTCAAACAAATTGCAGTGAATCTGGAGTCAGACATCAAATAGACCAGGTAAAGACATCAGATTTTGTTCCCTAAAGGACATGAGTAAACTAAATGGATTTTCACAACAATTAGCAACAGCTTCATGGTCACCATTACTGAGGCTAACTTTTAATTTCTGATTTATCAAGTTAATAGAAATTCACTCTACAACTCCACGAGCAGCCATGGGATTTCATTTTTATATACATTCACTCACGGAATGTTTTGGGGGTGGGGGGCACGTATCAGCATTTATTGCCCATCTGTAGGTGCCCTCAAGAAGGTGGTAGTCAACTCTCTGCTTGAACTGCTGCATTCTATTTGCTGTAGATCGACCCACAATGCTATTAAGGAGAGTGTCCCGGAATTTTGACCCAGTGACACTGAAGGAATAGTGATATATTTCCATATCAGGATGGAGAGTGGCTTGGAGGTGATCTTGCAGGTGGTGGTGTTCCCATGTATCTGCTGCTCTTTCTTGTTCTAGATGGAAGCGGTTGTGGGTTTAGAAGGTGCCTTTAAAGGAGGCTTAGTAATTTTCTGCAGTGCATCTTGTAGGTAGTACACACTGTTGCAACTTGAGTGATTGTAGGTAATTGAATGTTTGTGGATGCAGAAGGTTTGAAACACTGTCTGCATAGCATTAGTCTAATCTATGGATTAATAGACTAGTGAAACTACCACTTTGCCACTTCTCCTTGAATTATGCAAAATCTTTAGAAAATGGTTCAGTTTCATTTGTAAAAATTTTGTCAATGTTCAGTACTACAGTTTATTAAGAAAATAAGGCTTTGGACAGGATACAAAAACTTTCATAATGCTTACGGAGATGATAAATTAGAATTATTTGGATAGGCTAGAGGAGGTTTTTTCCTCAAAACCGAGAAGGTTTCAAGGAGATTGGATAGAGATGTTTTACAAATTATTTATTCATGTTAAAGAAAGATACACTTTTTCAACAGTGAAAGGATTGGTAACCAGGGAGCATGGATTTAAGATAATTCCAAAAGAACCAGAGATGACACGAAGATGACCTTTTCACATCAAGTGTTTACAATGTAAAATGCTATGTCTGATCAAGTGATAGACCCACTTAATAGTAGCTTTTAAAAGGAAATGGCATAAATATTTAAATGAAAATAGAATTCGGAAAGTAGGACAAGAGCAGGAAGTGAGAAAATGGATTGTTTTTCCAAAACATCTTGCTCATACTTGATGGACTGAGTGGTTTCCTTGTGAACTATAAGGTATGTCCTGTAGGGAAGGAAACTGGCTGTCCTGACCTGGTCTGCCGTTTATGCAACTTTTTAAACTTTTAATATGCATCTCTGGTTCCACACCAGAATTGGCTGGCTCTTAACTCTCCTCTTAAGTGAATTGGTAAGACATTCAGTTACATCAAACATGCCAAGAAAACAAAAGGATGGGCAATTTTTGTTTACCAGCAATGCCCATGACCAGATAAAAGTTATTTGTTTAAAAAAAATGCTCTTCATGATCACTGGGCATGTCAAAGCACTTGACAGCCAATTAAGTACTTTGAAAGTGTGGGCACCTTTGCAAAGTAGCAAACACAGCAGCCAATTTGTACACAGCAAGGTTCCACAAACAGCAATATGACAACAACTGGGTAAACTATATTCATGATACTGATGGAGGGATAAATATTGGCTCCTCAGCTCTTCTTCAAAATAGTGCAATGAGATCTTTTACATGCACGGGAGCAATCAGATTAGGCATTGATTAAAAAAAAAGTTATCCCTAAATCAACATATAAAAACAGGATTACCTGGTCATCATTACATTGTTGGTTTGGGGAATTTGCTATGTACGTATGACCACTGCATTTCCTATGTTATAACAGTTTCTATATTTCCAAAGTACTTGGTTGATTCTATGTAGTAAAGCACTTTGAGATGTCCAATGGTTGACCAAAATCAGAGTTCCAAGTCTGTTTGCCTCTGCATTCTTGCAGTGCAAGACTACAAATCACTACTTCGTACACTTTTTCCTGAAAAGCCATGAAATTCTCATTGGCTCCCACTATAGTTACGAGAATGTAACTAATAGTTATCAACACAGCAAGAGCAGCTCTGAACCATTACGAATGGATTAGCGTTGAAATCACAAACATTTTCTACCTTGGACTGACTCTAGTGCAGTTCACGATGGAGGGAGGTGGAACTTTCACTGTTGAAAGCATGTGAATTATTAAAAATGAGCTGGATTCTATTTGCATGGTGTTCAGATTTGAGGACTGAATGAAATTGCATGCTGACCTCTTGCCTCTTTACATCCATGTTCCACACAACAATCCCACCATCTGCACCACAAGAGATCAGCTGCCGAGTATGATGTGCATAACAAAGGGACTGAACTTTGTCACTGTATGACAGAAACAGAACAAAGAGTTAGCTAAAGCAGCACAATTGCACTCATGCACTGGTCGGAAAAGCAAATGTACATGGGAATCAATATTACTGCTGAACACTCACTTGTGGCCTTGTAGTTCAATAGCAGTTCCCTTTCTTCCTCCTATATCCCACATAATAATGCAATGATCGGAGCTACCAGAGAATAGTGTCCGTTGAACTGGATCCCAACAAAGTGCAGTGATGCTGCCTGTAAGACAGAGGGATTTTATATGGTTCAGGCAAATGGTCTTTGAAAATAAAGCTTCAAACTAGTCAAAAAAACAAACTTATTAAATTGCCATTGAGTTAGTCAATTCAATTTTTAAAAAATTTCTTTATGGGATGTGGACATAGCTGGCTAAGCCAGTATTTATTGCCCATCCCCAATTACCCTGGAGAAAGTGATGGTGAGCTTTTCCTTGAACCGCTGCAGTCCACAGGGCACAGGGACACCCAAGGTGTAGTTTGATTACACTGCAGTCATCTTATCAGGTACTTCAAGAGACACAATCTCTTTGCTCTCTCACCAACCGCAAAGAAGCTCCAGAGGTCTGCAAGTATGGTTTGAGTCAGAAATTGGATTGCTGCCTGAAAACATTCACTCAGGTTCTCTACACTGCATCCGATTTCAATTGCGTGCTGACATTTTGTTTAACTTACTCCCGTTTCAGTACCAATAATTTTTGTAATGCTTTCCATCACCAACATATTTCTTGACAATTCTAATATGATTGACCTTTATCTAGAAATAACCTAAAGTATCATCCACATATTAAATATATTCACACATCAATGAAGGAAACATTGTAGAATCAATAGGCAAAGGTTGGAGATTACATGTGAACTCACGTCACAGGGAGACAAACATGAACTCCAACTACAGAAGCTCTGGTTAGCTTACCACTGTGTCCTTTGAAGGTCGTAACGACAGAACAATTGTCTTGTTCAAGCTTCAAAATAGTCACCTGCCCAGAATAATCCCCAACAAAAGCATGTCGTGTTTCAATATCAAATCTGAGACTGGTCGTTATGGAAAAGTATGAAAAGTAGTCTTCAATTTAAACAAGATACCACAAACCACATTCTACATAAGATAGCACACCATTAATATTGAGGATACTGCAGACATGAGGCACAAGCAGAGGTTCTGTGGGTACCTAACCTTCGACCACTCTCTGAACAATGCCACGTGAAGCTTTTGTCCTGTCCCGTGCTCAGCACCCATTCCATCTCCAAAACAAACAGGACCATTGTCACTCGGCTTTGATGAGCTGTGGGAAATATAAGGAACAAATCGATTTGGTTCTCGAATGGTCTCATTTTAGTTTAACATAAGGAAAACGATTGAAAGTGGTAAATGGTAACGGCATAAATCAAAGCCAAAGCAATATCTGTCAATTCATGGCATCGCTACATTCATGGGAACATTTTGAATCATACACAACAGTTGAAAATCACTGCCCCAATTTCAAATAGCAAAGAAAAATAGGTAGGCACTGAATATACTAATTATTACTTCAACTAGTTTCAATATAGATCTTGCTTCTGGGACATTATAGAACTTTATAAAATAATGAAGGGTTTAGTTAGAGTTAGTGGTAGTTGTCTTTTCCCTAGGATGGGGGATTTCAAGACTAGGGGGCACATCTTTAAGGTGAGAGGAGAGAGCTTTAAAAGAAACGGGAGGGGCTTTTTTTTTTTAAGTTCGTACACAGGGTGGTTCGTATGTGGAACGAACTTCCAGAGGAAGTGGTGGATGTGGGTACAATTACGTTTAAAAGACATTTGGATAAGTACATGAATAGGAGGTAATGGCCTAGTGGTATTATTGCTGGACTGTTAATCCAGAGACCCAGACGACGTTCTGGGGACCCAGGTTCAAATCCTGCCATAGCAGATGGTGGGAATTTGAATTCAATAAAATATCTGGAATTAAGAGTCTAATGATGACCGTGAATCCATTGCCAATTCTTGGAAAAACCCATCTGGCTCATGAATGTCCTTTAGGGAATGAAACTGCCATCCTTACCTGGTCTGGCCTACATGTGACTCCAGACCCACAGCAAAGTGGTTGACTCTGAATTAGGGATAGGCAATAAATGCTGTCCAGCCAGCGACGCCTTCATCTCGTGAATGAATAAAGAAGGAAGATGGAAAGATTTGGGGGTGGCATAGCAGCATGGTGGCTCAATGTTTAGCACTGCTGCCTCACAGCACCAGGGACCCGGGTTCGATTCCAGCCTTGGGCGACTGTCTATGTGGAGTTTGTTTGCTCCCCCCGTGTCTGCGTGAGTTTCTGCCGGGTGTTCTGGTTTCCTCCCACAGTCTAAAGATGTACAAGTAAGGTGGATTGGCCGTGCTAAATTACCCATTGTGTTCAGGGATGTGTAGGTGAGGTGCGTTAGACATGGGAAATGCAAGGTTACAGAGATAGTATAGGGGGATGCGTCTGGGTGGGATGCTGTTCAGAGGGTTGGTGCAGACTTATTGGGCCAAATGGCTGTTTCCAAGCTGTGGGGATTCTACAATTGTTCAGAGGGATACGGGCCAGGAGCAGTCAGGTCGGACTAGTTTAGTTTGGGATTGTGGACCGGTTGGACTGAAGGGTTTTTTCCGTGCTGTATGACTCTGACTCATTAAGTCCCCCGCATAACAATGAAATCTCAGTCTGCCCAACAGGAAAATGTCAAAGCTGTGCACGCCAATATCTCTCAGGCATGTTGCTATTCTTTTTCCAGCTGGACAAAGAAAGAAAGCAAACATGCACAACTAAATTTATACCAAACGATGTGCTTTGTTATTGGCATTAAATACCAAACATGTAAAAAAGCTGCAGGCTCATGCATAACTGGTCTTTGCTCCAATTTCTTTAACCTGAACACCACGGTCCCAAGCACCTCAATCCAAAGCAGAGGATTTGCTCATTTATGTTATTTTACTTACTTGCCTAGCAAGTGAGAAAAAAAATCCCTCCCACCACCCCCACACTGTAGTATCACAAAGGCCCTTTCATAATCTGATCAGATAATTTTGTATGTGGAAATGCTACTCACATTGTGAAACTAGAGTGGCCAAGGGTCACATGCTTGGTATTTGGACATTTTAAAGTAGTAACGCCTATTGGCAAGCATGATTTTGATCATTGCAACTACCAAGAATATAATCAACTCAATTCAGTTTCATGTTTAAAATGGAAGCACAGCAGCTCATCAGATCTATTTTTAACACCAGGCCATGGGTTTAAATAGCCAGGTTAAAAACCTTAGTTACGCAAATCAGCTCAAACAAACTAGGACTGCTCACTGCAAAGAAGCATAGGCTTCAGATGATTTGATCAAAGTTCATAAAATAATGAAGGCGTTTGACAGTGTGTGCACTGACAGCTTGTTTCAGCTAAAAGCTTTAGGGAGGACGAGGGATCAGAATCCCAAGTAATATGAAGGCCAGAACTAGTTAGATGTAATAGTTTTCTTGTCAAAAAAAAAAAGTGCATCTGTTGCTGCCATCGTACAGTCTCGTGACTCACTGAAATCCTTTAACCAAGAATTAGACCTGTTTCTGGGAAGGATAGAAATCACCTCGTTGATGAGGTAGCTTTTGTATACACACAGGTGGTCTTCCTGGCTAGTTTTGGTCCCTTCAGAGGGATTTCCTTACTTAGCCTCCCTGCCCCCAAAATTGGCCTAGATGCTTGATCTAGATTTTCATCTCGCTGAAGAGACAACATTCGGTGGGTTGTCTCAGGATGCAGGGAACAGTGGCATCACATTGGACAGGCTGAAAGGATTAGTAGGTCTTCCACTGGGATGGGCAGTAAACTTCGAACAAAGCACAGATAGGCTGTTCCATGATCTCTTCAGCATAGCATTAAACAGTTTTCAACCTCATGGCAACAAGCCAGCACCTCATATCTTTGGCTAGTTCACAACACAAAACCTCACACTGAGGGTTTTCCTCAAGTTATCAGCTCTGAACTGTGATGCAGAATCTTGGGAAATTTACCCACAGGTGGGTAAAATATTCTAGCACTTATCAGGAGTGAAAATACAATAGCTATCAGTTCTTGTATTCTCAGGCCTTTCCCTCCCTCTGAGTTAGATCAAGAAGTTCCTTACCCAGGTAGCTCTTTGCTGAAGTCATTTTGTTGTAGTCCTCCGACAAAATAAACTCCTGACAAAAGACAAACTGTTAAGTTGTAAACTTCCTATATATTCCTTATATCAGTCCTACAAAGATGTAAGCCACTACATTAAAACACCAGAGATTTCAATTAGTTAAAATTTTAAGGAAATTTAGCATCAGAATTTATTTTTAAAAGACAGCATGTGTGCTTAAACTTGGCAGATTTCTGAATAGGATTCGTCCACTATTCACATCATCAGTGCAACAAACAGTCATGTTAAGTAGTTAGACATAAAAGATATCAGGATCAGTGAGTTAAGGACATACAGAGAATGATTCATAAATGTGAATTAACAATTGGTACTGTTAATTTTGTAGAGTAATGCCCCGAAACTGTTAAGTTTCTGTGGGAGAGCAAGTTAAACAGGTCTGGTGTGCTTTCTCATTACAATGAACTCGGAATGTATCAACTCACTTTATGGTTTGTAATTTATTATTAGCAAGGGACAAAACCTTTCGCAAAGTGTTAAAACATAGCCAGAATTCATCCCAATCTGCAGCTAATGAGGAGGACCCCAACCATAGGAAGTTTGGATTTAAGGACAGGTAATCCACATCCTATGAGCAATTAAAATAAAAATTAAGTATTTCCCAAAATAGCCTCCCATTTAAATTAGTTCACACACATGACGTAAAATATAGCAGCCAAAAATAAGGCGGCTTCTCAACCAGGCCACTCAGTTATTCTCTCATTCAGCATCCTCCATGCTCGCTCAATTAATTTGATGAACATTACCTTTGATTTCCTTCCCCTCATATGCTTATCCAGCCTCCCCTTAAATGCATTTATATGATTTGCCTCAATTACTCCATTTGTTAGCAAGTTCCACTGTCTGTGTTTAAGATATTTATTTTGAGTTCCTTTCCTGATTTCTTGGTGAATATCTTCACTTGATGGCTTCTACGTACAATATTAAGGAACCACTGTCTGAAGAGATAAAGACCCAGTCTATTCACCTTTTCTGTGTCAGTGTAACCTCAGTTTTAGGATTATCCTTTTAAATTGTTTTTGCATCTTCTGGTGCTTCTATATTATCTGCATGATACGACAATTAGACTGTAAACTGCTCTCCAAATAATAATTTAACCAAGGTTGATATGAATTTAGATTAACTTCCAGAGGTTTCAGTTCTAGTCCTGGAACTCAACTCCAATGCTTAATTTGAATTGCTTTTATTATGGCCTAATGAACTTGCATCACAACTTTTAGTAAATTTTGTGTTAGCATTTCCAGATCTCTTTGCTGTTTTGCTCCAATCAGATTCTTATTTTCTAAGCAAGATGTGCTCTATACCAAAATGTAGTAGCTCCCACTTATGCTGAAACTCATTTGTCATTTATCCGTTTCACTCCCCAAGTTTCTTAAAGTTGTCATGCAATTTGTCTTGCTCCACACCAGTTTTGACTGTATGTCCTAATTTGGTGCTGTCTGCAAACTTAGAAATTGTGTTAATTCCATGAAGCGTTCCCAGCGTTGATCCTTGTGAAGCTCCACCTTCCACCAAACTGAATCCCCTTCATCCCCACTTATTATTTTGAAGCCAGCCAGCTACCTAGTCCTCAGATTCTGCAAGCTCTAACCTTATTTACTGGTCTATTAAGTGGTATCTTCTTAAATGCCTTTTGGAGATTTCAATAGATTACATCTAGAGCAGTACCTTCGAATTATTTATATATCTGCTCTGATAGCTTTTCGAAGTGTTTAATGAGGAAGGCATTTCTTTTTAAAATCCATCTAATAAGATTAAGGTTGATCCAAGTGTTCCACATCCCTGACAACCGCAATAACTTTTCATCCTGCTGGTTATCAAGACTCTATCCACTTTTTCTTTAAAAGCAAAGTCTCTGCTTCCACTTACTTTTGACCAAGAGAGAGTTTTAAAAAACTCACAACTCTCAAAAACAAATTCACCTCATGTGTCTTAAATGGGTGAAAACTAATTTTTAAACAGTGAACCTTAGGTCTAGAATTTCCCACAAGAGGAAACATTCTTTCCACAGCCACCTGGTCAAGACACCTCAGGATGTTGTGTTATATCCATCTCTCACTTTTGTAAACTCTATCAGATACGTCCCTAGCCTATCCACCCTTTCCTCAATACAAAATGTCCGATCCAGAGATTAATCAGGTCGATGCTCTCTGAACTGCTTCCAAAACAGAGCCAACCAACCTCAACACCCACAACCCGAGCTACAGATCTACTTTAAAACCTTAGAGTGCTTCCAAAAGATTTACATTGCTCCTTGAATGAGACTAATACTGTACATGGTACTCCACACTCAATTAGCTTTTTCTTTGATTTGGTTACCTTTTTATTTGAAAAAAAAACCTTCCGAGGAAGGGTCACTGAACCCGAAACGTTAACTCTGTTTTCTCCTCCACAGTTGCTGCCAGACCTGCTGAGCTTTTCCAGCAACTTTGTTTTTGTATCTTTTTATTTGACTTTGATACTGGTAACAAGTGAACTGCTTTGGCAGATTTCGAAGCTCAGTGCAAGGATGTAGGTTTAATAACACAAGGGTATTGCAACAACAATCATTGCAACCATGCTAAATATAATTCTTTCATGCTACTCCAAGTCAGTTTCCCCAAATACAATCAACACACTTCTTTCTGTTGTTTGTTATGATGGCTGATTCCCAAATCATTGGTCCCAAATGGCAGAAAATAATAACGCATTAGTACCCCACCAGTAAATTCTTACCAGGCCCTAAGTAAGTTCCAAAGCAAACAAGCTCAAACTAAAATAGACATCCTAGGAGAATTGTGGGTGCATGTGTAATATATGCAAGCACATCATCTGTGTGTATCGACCCATCCAAGTGGCAAACGGAACTACTACAGACCAGCACCAGTGTTGTCATAATGTAGGGCTTGACTGTGATGTCGTGCCAAAAGTTTCCAACCAGAACTACTGACTCCATAAACGGTCAGTCTGGAAGAAACTTGCAATTTCTGAAGTCTGATGGATGAATGCCAAAGAGTAGGCAATGGCTTAAAATAAACTGCTATTAAATTCAGACAAGGGAATCATTTAGACTGAATGGATGGTCTATGCTGCTCATTTTAACAAGATAAAAAGACCTGTCATTCATACCCAAATTTACGATCACATATCCATTCCCAATGTCTACAAAACAGGGCTTGAATTTAGCAAAGTTAGTCAATACCGAGATTAGACTTTGTTCCCTTGATATGTCTAATCCACTAACTCTACGCTCTATTCCTTCAACTCTGAGCTGCTATTCATTCTTCAAATGCTGGTATTTCAGCAAGTACTGATTCCTCTATCAGCTCAGCCATGGCACCACTTTTCTCATCTTCAAACATTCCCTCATGAACTATGACCTTCAAATTCTACTCACTGTGCACTGCCTAGCAAAGTACCCAAAGAGGTTTCTGCACAGGTGCATCCAAATTTCTTTGGCATGTGCCTTGCCCCTCAGAGCATTGTATCTGATTTGCTTTAAGAATTCAGTATTTCCCGAGGTCATGCTCCTCATTCTTAGTTTGCATTATACAACTGTGTCACTTGTACTTCCTTGTCCTCAAATACCCACACAATCAAACGCCCCAGCTCTTCTTGGCGATATCAGAACCAGTCTTTGCCTAAAATATACAATACCTTGCTGTGCAGGATGTTACTGGACTGAGGCCAAGTTTCCTGCAAAAATATAGCCCTGACCAGTAACAACATTGACAGCAGTTTTATGATCTGACATCCATTAATACCTGTGGATTTATTGTGCAGTGAAGCTTATTTTGGCAAATCCCGGCAGCTGTCAGACTAACCTTTACAATGGTATTTCAGCTTACCTGCAGGGGATCGTAAGTACTTTCTTGGCTGCAAGTCTCCCAATGCAGATACCTGATCAGTCAGGTTCATCAGTTAACTGTCATGGACAGCTATGTTGCAAAGCAACAGTCTTAAACTTCAACTAGGCTGATGGCATTCAATTCCTAGATTTGTTGGGCATTTAAGACAACAAAAATAGAATTCCAAGTTTTTCTGCCCTTTGGGAAACCCCTGAAGTCCTCAGCCAAAATGTCTGTAATCTTCAGTGGTGAATCCTTTCTTGGCTGTGCTAAGGAAATAGTATGCGCTATCACAGCAGGAGCAAACAAATTTCAGTTCAGACCACTTCAAGCACTCTTCTCTTTTGCTATCAATTGCCAATGATACAGTGACAGTATTCAGCAAGAACAGAAATATCAAGCTGAGAAGGGCAGTGTTCAGGAGGAGAAATTCTTCAATTACTTGATCTGTGACAACATCCAATTGCTCACCCCAAGAAAACTGTTGCCCAAAAAACAGGAATTCCTATGTCTACATGGGCATTAAAAATGAACAAAGAAGATGCTGCCTCTTAATTAAAAAAAGATACTGAGCACAAACATGGGGGAAGACACTTCAGAGATATTTGCAAGATGTTACCCTCATTCACGGTAAGGTACTCACTGAGACTGTACCGCTGTCCAGTCCTACAGACAGCCTCCTTGTTTCTGGATTGAAGGACATACTTGAACATGAAGCTGTAAAACAAAAAAAGAAAAATGTTCACTGTAATGTGGATTGGTCAACATGAATACTTTCAAAGTGCCAAAAGCTAGTTTTAATTCATACTTTAAAAGTTGCATATTTTTCAAAGCAATACAATTCCATAACATTCATTAGAACTTCTACACGTCTATCAAGATGCACTAGAAAAGTGGATAACAATATGTAAATCAAGAACAAAAACAGATGGCAGCATCTGTGAAGAAAAATCAGAGTTAACATTTTGGGTCCAGTGACCCTTCCTCAACTGATGGTAGCTAGGAAAATGTTGGTGTATGTGTAAATCAAACAGAGTACATGCAATTCCTCCTCTCCCAGAGGTTCACATGTAAATTCTGTGTAACTACATGGAATCCTCAGCATTACCAAGCTGTTAACCAAGACCTCTCATTCACTCTGAGCTTCAAACCCCATCATGTTAAGACTGCCACACAAAATGTCTGGCAAGGCCTGGTTACTGTTCTCCAACTCCCATCACAAATAATCTTGCAAAGATATCACAGATGGCATGACTCTGCCAGCAAAAGAATTTCAAGCATGTCATAATGCAGGTACAAAAATTGGAATGCCTCTTTGTACATACCCTAGCCTGGAGTTTAAAACACAGCATCTGTGTAGCAACTTGTTTTTTTTCTTAGAAGTACTGAGAGCTCCAGATGCTGGAAAGGACTGTTCTGATGAAGGGTCACTAGACCCGAAACGTTAACTCTGCTTTCTCTCCACAGATTTTGCCAGACCTGCTGCTTTTTCCCAGCAATTCCTGTTTTTGTTATTACTTTTAAGAGTTGGGTCACGGCAGCACAGGAATTTGCACAATCAAAACACTAATTCTTGCAACACTGAAGGTACATCAACATTTCAGGTCTCAAGTGTATGATGCACTCACCAATTGTTGTGTGGACCACAGAAATAGCAGAAAGCCTTACAGCGCCTTCAGCCTCCTCTGCCATTCTGACATAATCTCAGAATAAACGGGTGCCAATTCAAGATTAAGATGAGGAGCATTTTTTTTTCTCTCAGACGATTCAGAGTCTGTGGAAATCCTTACCACGGAGAGCTGCGGGGGGCATATTTACGGCTGAGATAGACAGATTCTTGATCAGGAGGGGAATCAAGGGTTATGGGAAAAGAGCAGGAAAGCGGACATGAAGAATGTCAGATCAGCTACGATCTTAAGAAATGGTGGAACAAGCTTCAGGGTCCAAACTCTACTCCGGTTCATATTTATTATGGTCTCATTCAATTAGGTCAGTTATCCTGTAACTCAACTCCATCCGCATACCTTTATCACAGATTTTTATTGGATGTGGCTAATAAAATATATTCATCTAAATCAAAACCATGCAGAGTGCCTTGCTGATGAACTCATCAATATTGCTAAGGGTTCAATCAACTCATGACACTGAGGAGGCGGCTGAACTGGAGTGTGTGGCTAAATCTAACCATTAATTCTGTCACATCTGCCATCTGCATTGTCTAATAAAACCGAACAAAAGTCAAAAGAAAAATCAACTTTGGGAAAATGGATGGAAAAACAAAATGTTAAGATGCAGAATCCCATAACGTCACACAAGACAAAAACTCAGGTTTATCAACTTAGTCACCCTATTATTAGGTTGGCTTCCTATTATTGGAAATGAGCTTTGACAAAAGTACAAATTCAACTGGTGCAAAACCCCAAAGACACAGTCAGCTGTTATTAAAAGAAAAATCTTTGGAGGCTACCCGCATATTCATATTCTATTCAGCGAAGAGAGGAAAGTATATTGTTTTCTCGTTGATTAGCACAGCAGTGGTAGGAGACAGGTCAGAAGGGAGTCATGCATGCATTTCACTAAATATATGAAACACTTCACAATACAAGCAAGTTCCCATTTTGAGGAGAAATTAACACTATCTTCAGGTCACAACAGAAGCAGAGTATTTCATTCGTTTACTTGCTTCTCATTCTCTTCTTTTTTTCTGTCACAGTTCACTGACTTCAGATCACAAAGACACTTCGGCATTGCACCAACTGCCACTCAGATGACAGAAATCAGACTTGATGTGTCCTGAATTACGTTCTCCTTTACATTACATGTAACCTGGAGCTGTTCTTCTGATTCAATGTATCACAAAAACATCAAAAATACTTGGGAGACAGTATATGCATTTTACCCCCTGCCCCCACATGTACATTTCTCTTGAACTGCTGTTCTGACTCCTTTTGAAGAGGTTCTTCCAGACAATGACAACATCTGACCCAAAGAGCCACCTTTCACCACAGGTTACGCATGTGTCCACAGCCTGTTCAATCAAAGGAGTCCGTCACAAATGAGATCATCTGTTATTTTGAATATTCACATCTGCATTTCTGACAAGGGTATAGGGAATAAAAGGAGTGACGTTTGCCAAATTTTCTCCTCCCCAATAAATGGTACATAAATAATGATCAAATATACAGTGGAAGATAAAACACTGGGGCCATAACCTAACAGCTAATATGTTACTTCACTCAAGATAACACTCATTGTTTAAAAACAAGCAGGAGTTCAAGGCTGCAGTAATTGATTGTCATTTTAGCAATGTTTACATTGACAGCCATTTATACAATTTTGAAAGAATGGTTACAAAAAAAAATCAATTCAGGTTGTCATGTTTGGATTTTGACAAATAAAGTGATTTAATCATGGGTCAGAGTGGGACAAGAGGAAAAAAATCCCAATCTACCAAGACATAAATGTGCACTCTTCAAATTTCTCAAAATTAGCAAGATTCAATTTCATAGCTTACAATTCCATGGTACCAAGGTCATCACAATATGTAGCTATCATGAATACAGTTAATTTGACAAAACAGTAAGGAAATAAGGAATTTTTTTGGAGAGTGAGTTATGATTTAAAATGCATTGTAAGTGTTTATCTTTTTCAGACAAAGGAGAAATTGCAGTAGTCTGGACAGAGAGTAGGCTAAGGGGAACTAACTAAATAGATTTTGAAAAGAGTGAGCCCAGGCATGACAGGCCAAATGCTCTTTGTCAGCTGTACAATTCTCTTGACTGCAATCAATGTTCATGTCAGCCCATATGTAAAAGTTTACATGTTGAAAATCCCAAACTGGGCCAAGCACCAAATTACACAGGGCTAGTGAAGCTTCAACATATACAATGCAACATGGAAGGTACAAGTGCTTAAACCAACATACATGAGTCTCAGGTGCATACTCCACTTGTCAAGCTTCAGTTTAAAATAATGAACTTTTACTTCACATTTCATTTGCCATCCCAAAGGTTAATCAATTGTGACAGCCAATATAACATGAAAAATCCTTTCCAATTTAATAACCACTTTTTAAGACGACTTCTTTACATTTTTTAAATAAACAGTTTTTAAAAATAAATCCAAATGCTAGGAACCAACTGTTACATTTTACTATGCACCTGATTAGAAGCAAATAATCAGGTGAAAAGTTACATTTTTCTCCTTCCCTAGAGCTAGTGATTTGTAAAATGCACAAAACATGGGTACCAAACACCCAGCTCTCTCCTCACACATTTACTTCATCCATACAGCACTCCATGACACGTCAGCATACTACTTGAAACTGGTGGAGGTTGAAACAAACAGATCCTCTATTCCAAAATAATTTACTTGTCCATTTTTCAAAGTGACACAGGATAACAGTTTCAAGCAAGAACCTGCCTTCTCTTCACAGCCTTTGCACTATGATTTATCAATTTCCTTACTCTGCACTGTTACCCAACAGATCACAAGATAGGGAACTGAATAGAAAGCTGATCACGAAGCTGCATACTACACTTGCAAAGTGCACTGGAACAATGTACTGCACCATCATATGGGAACTTAATTTACAACAAAAACACTGAGCTAAGAACAAAACTAATGACTTGAAGATAAATTTTAAGGCTTCAAACCAACTCTCAATCTCATGTCCGAAACAGTATATTGAAGAAGCCAGGAATATGTTTCATCAGTTAACTGTACCATAATCACATGCTCAGTCTACAATACAGCTGAAAACTGATCCCTTGTTTTAAGTTGCACCATTCCTTTTTGATTTAGAATTTATCCCACATATATTATGCAAATAAGCATAATCACTCCTGCTGGTATTTGGAGGGACAGTAAAAACAGACAACAGCCAAAGTCTGAGAAACATGACATTCGAATTCATCGTAGCACCTCATGTTAAATATTCCTCATTGACAATAAACTGCTTACCACGATCTAACAGAATAATCTGCATCTCAAGAATACCAAGGTTGAATAAATTATTAATCCTCTCAGTTATTGCATTACATTAGATCTAGATACGGTACATCTGATGATTCTCAGTGACTTCACTATGTCTCTCAAACAACAATTAACCCACCTTCACAGGCACAAATGGACAATCTATACACCTACAGACATGGGTCACCGTTACCCACTAAATGTATACTTTACTCACCAGAGTATTTCACTTTCAACAATATATTTAAAGACCTATGGAGAAAAGGAGACTGAGAGATGGAATCATAACTGGAGGGGGAAGAGGAGTGATGGGGATAGCTGTTTCAATGAGTAGACACCGAGACAAGAGGCTGCCTTCTGTATTGTAAGATTTCTTGGTTTTCAGGTAAAGTTTTTTTTCCTTAAAAAAAAGGCCAGGACAATGATGGCACTTTTGCAGAAAGCAACAACAATACTCCTCAATGGTGAGTGAAAATTGATCTGAGCAGCAGACATTAAGTTGAGAAGAGCTGGGTATAGATCAACAAAGTTACAAAAGGAGATGGTGTTTCTCATGCAAGAAATGAGTGTAAAGGAGTTGTTAACAGGAGTGTGTTCAGTTTGGGATACAGTAAAATGGAGCTTGGGTGGATCTAAACTATTACCATATTTTCCAGCAAGTTATTCAAGAGACGTAGGGACGAAGATCCGGCAATAAGGTGCTCTGATGATTTTTTTAGGTACCAAGCATTAGGCAAGGACGCAGCGTGCTCCTCAAAAAATATTCAAAGAAACATTTACCAACAAACTCTGCCAAGTCCTGTTTGTCAACTTGCTTATACTAATGAAGCCACCCACATAATCCAAAATATTGCATCTGTTGCTAGTTTATAATTTTTAAAAACTCTAATAGCTGTCTGACATCTTTAAACAGTCTCCATGTTGAAACAAACGTAAAGACATCAAATATTACAGAAAGAATGAAATAAAGGCAACAGACCAGAAATCCAGGTCTATTTTTACTCCAAAGTACTAGAAGCATGTTTATTTTTAATTTTTGATATTAAGATTATCACTTGCTTAAAGAAACCTCAAATAGTACTTTCTGAACTCTCCAAAAGTATTCCTTGTCAGAAGAAACACAATGAATTTTGCCAGATACATTCTCATGTTTGGTTTTTGATGGGAAATGCACTTACATGGCATTGAGTGGTAAACACTTGGCCAGTACTGACCGCTGTCTCTCTTAATCCATACACGAATTGTTCTGGAAAAAAGGTTTAAAAAAAAAAAACAGTTACTTCCATTTTTCTTCTCACACACACACACACACACACACAGTGGGAATTGTCACAACATAACTAGGAAGAATACACAAATAATTGTGCCCTAATGCTTCACAAACCATTGCAAATATATAAAATCCCAATGTCAGCAAATCGTTGGTAAATGATGCAATTTGAATTCACTGTAAAAAAAAAAATCTGCAATAAAAAACGTCCATGTCTAAAAGACTAATGGTGACCATGAAATCATTGTCTACTGTCAGAAAAACTCATCTGATCCACCCTTCCCAAATGGACCTGAGTGATGTCTTCCTGCAACTCTAGACCTACAGCAGTATGGTTAACTCATAACTGCCCTTCCCGGCACAAAGCCAGGTTGACTATCCCTAATCAGTCCTTGCCTTTCCAAATGCATGCAAATCCTGCCCCTCAGAATCCCTCCAACAACTCACCCACCACTGACATATGGCTCACAGGTCTGTATTTCTCTGGCTTTTCATGGCAACCTTTCTTAAATAATGGCACCACATTAGCCAACCTCCAGTTTCCGGCATCTCACCCTTGTCTATCGATGATACAAATATATCAGCAAAACGCTAAGCAATCTCTTCCCTAGTTTCCCCACTAGGTTCTGGAAACACCTGATCAAGTTTCAGGCTTTATCTGCCTTTATGCATTTTAAGACATCCAGCACTTCCTCTTTTGCAATATAAACTCTTTTCAAGGCATCACTCTATTTCCCTAAGTTCCCTAACTTGCTCAAAACCAAAAGCAGCTCTCACAGCCACGATCCTCTCCCGTCCACCATTTTTTTTTCTCCGTGCTGTTGGTCTCATTCTCCCTGTTACTACTTCAAAGAGCAACATTGCACTGCAGGTTAAAAGAGGGCAATATTTGCTTTTGAATCATAACACTTTCATGGTACTTCAACTACATAGCAGTTGAACTTACATTTCAATTTACAGGCCTGAAAAAGAAAACTGTGGTCACTTTCAGAACCTAAAAGCTAAACCACTACGGAGCTCTAGTTCACCAAAGACTGAGGTGCTGAGGGCCCCACCTCACATGTTCACGGACACAATCTAACATGGTAAAACACTGACTGTGTTTAGGCCAGGATAAGTGATGTGAATCAATACAGGAAAGTGGGGAAGCAGTTGTAAAGAACTCATTTCCCAAACAATTTAATCACAAACCCCTCAAAGATTTTATTTGCACATCACCAGAATACAATAAATGCTATGATATTAATGGGTTGGAGTGAGCAAGTGCTTCCAAATATTTTCTTGTTTTTGTTAAAAGTATGAAAATTTCAGATCAGCAGCATGATTCAAGAGAGCATATCAAGAAAATGTCTTTGGACAATTTTTTGCCCAATCTGGCTGCATACGATGGCTATGGATTTCAATGCAGTTACACTTTACACAGTACGATGCACCATTCTTCATCAAAGCAGAAAATGCAATAAAAGGTATGAAATGCTGATCACGACTTTTAAAGCAACATAAATAAACAAAGATACAAGATATGATCTTTAACTAAAACTGTAAGGACCAAGTCAAGATGTCTGCTCACCTAAAGTTCAAAAGTATAGGCCCTGGACTTATGACAAATAAATCCAAGCGCACAAGTGACTAAATATCATTTCCAAAGTTCCATTTTAAATCCAAAACAAACATTGTGAATTTGTTGCATCTAACAGAACCCCGAGAATTTCAACTTATTCAGGACAAGCTTTTTGTTTTTCAGCCTTCTGCAAAAGGAAACTGACTGAACTCCTTGAACAATACATCTGCAATCAGACGTGCCAGTTTTCATGGTACAAAAATTACCAGTGTCTAAAAAGTGAACATCCTCTGCTGTTATAATGTGAGCAATACAAGACAAATTAAAGTCACATTTTAAAAAAAAAATTCATTTTGTTTAGGTTTGAAATGTCTGAAAGCATGGGATTGATCATTTTGTCATCTGGTTAGTAGCAAGACAGCTACAGAAGCACCATCATTGCTATAATGTTGCGTGCCTGGGCAATAGAAGATATAGCTGGGAATTAAAATTACTGTAGCTTTGAAGCATCTAGCAGGTCTTAAGAAATACAGGTTTCATCAAATTAATTCTGAACTCTTGCCTGCCTGTGATTTACAAAGAAAAAACTGATGATATCATATGGTTTGTATTAACACAAATTGCAATGTTTAGAAATATCCCATAAATAGCCAGTAGACTCCCTTCTTTAACCTATGGAGAGGTGATTTACATGGTCACTATTTCACTAAGGCTTATAACTTAATCAGTGCCTTTCTTGGGAACAAACTCACAAGTACTTCAACAAGTTTAAGGGTCATCAGCGTTATTTGCTGCACTCTGTCCCCAACTTTGATTGTCCCAACACTGCCAGTTGTTAGTAAAGGCACTTGCACTCAACAGGAAACCCAGAAAATCTTCAGGACAAACAGCTCTAGCAAGGCTGCTTTGTCTTAAAATTTACTGTTTGAAAAGCAGTTGTAATCAGGTTCCCAATTACTTGCAAAAGAGAATTGCATAAATATTGAAAAAGGTGACATTTGCTCAAGGCGGTGGGACTAACGGCACAGCTCTGTCACAAAAATAATACAGCACAGCTAAACCAAACAGCGTCCTGTGCTGTGATTTTAAAAAAAGTCATCTCCTGCATTTGCAATAGATTATAAATCAAAACATGATCAGCCTCTGAATATTTTATTGACAAAATCATAAAAGTAGAACTTGTATGATGTTGCAATGAAGTAACAAGGATAGCTTCACCAGATGAGAATAATCCACTGCAAGGAATCAATACAAATAAAAGACAGAGTAGAATTCAGTAAATGATCCCAAGCAAAGAGCATGCAGCAAAAAGAACAATATACATAAATCATGCCGCTTACTAATTTTAAAGGGAAATGCTTCTTAGGTTTCTGAAACTGTAGGAGATTTATTGGATTTTCCCTATTCAAATGGAATCAGGCTGGTCTTATCACACGGTCAGTGAGAGTCTGGCTCAGTGTAAACACTTGAGACTCAGTCAGAAGGTGCTGGTTTCAAAATTCTACTCCCCGCAACCCTGCTAAATGGAAAATGCAGCTTCAATTCTGAATTCTGGGACGATATTCAGTGGGATACTCACCTGTGGTTAATGTAGGTGTTCTCACCTCATTTCACATAGGTTGTGGAATCCTAGAAAATCCTTTAGCCATAGAATATTAACCCAATGTCACAACTCACTGGGGTAGCACACTGAAAATCAAGTCCTGTTATACCTGAAGTCATCACAACAGCTAAAGAATTTTATTTGAAAATATGCAAGATTTCTATTTTACCTATCTTATAGTTAAGGTTGACAGAAAGCATGGATCCCGTTTCTACACTTAGCAAACACCACTATTTATTGCAAGTATATAGACTTTTGCTCCAGGTAAACAGTTATAAGATGTCAACATATGTCAAATTAAAAGCCAAATATCCCCATAAATTCCATTGTATATACACACAGACAGGAAAAAGATAAAACACGTGCATTATGGATCGAAGGAGAAAGAATTGGTAAAGCAGTTCAATAGTTCCTGCTCACAAGGGTTGCTGAGATGATTCTTATGCTGGCCAATGCCGCTTCTCAGTCATTTGCAAGAGGCATAGGTTGGCTGCTTCACTTATAAAAGGTCACTGTCTAATCAAATAACAGTCATAGAATAGCTTATAGCAATTGAAGTAAAGTTAAACTGGTTTTCTCCAGGTTCAATGTGGCTTTTTTGTGCAGAGAACAAAGGGAGCTTCTGAGCTGCTCGTGGTCCAAAGGCTTCAATGTATCTTGTTCCTAGCCTCAAGATGTTCAGTGGCCTGAGAACCAATCACAAAGTTTCCATTGGTAACTGGTCACTAGCTCACAATAAAATCCACCTTTTGCCAAAGCTTCATTTGAACATAACCCTTCAGCTACACTTTATCTGCAATCACTGTTAATACAAAGTGCTTGCAATAAGTATCAAGTTACTTGCTTTCAAACCACAGAAATTCTTGGTTTTAAAACAGTTCTTGACTCATTTCAATCCACAATTTAAAACAAAATTAGAAAGAACACTTTACATCAGTTAGTATAATGATGGGTACTCTCATGGATGCAGCCTTCCTGTCAAGACTGAGAGTCACCCATGAGTCCTCTCACTATTTCACCTTCTTCTCCAAAAGAAAGAGTAAGCTATGAAAACAAATACCATTGGAACATAGCACTTGGGAATGAATGCTGGTCCTTCACCATTTCAATGTTTCCACTGAGCAAAAGTCTCACTCTAACAGCGAGGTAACAAGAGACTGATTTAAATTGAGTTGAGAATCTAATAAATTGGTAGGAGTGTAGAAATCCAAGAAGCAATTCCCCTTAAAAATCAGTAAGAGATATGGTCATGATTTATGCATGCTGTTCTCTGCCATTCAATGCGTCTGCTCTGCCTTAAATAAACAGTGCCTTAAATGACACAGCCAGCACTACTTTGTGGGGAAGAGAATTTCAGAGAATAATGACCCTCACAGAAAATAAATTCTCTTAAATGCCATCTTAGAAAGGAGACTATGTAATCTTAAACACTGTCCTCTAGTTTGAGTCTCCACACAAGAAGGAACATCCAACCAACAAATTCCATCAAGATCTGCTTTGCTTCAATAGGATTGCTTCTCATTTGTCTGTATTTTAATGAGTACAACCCAATCTGTCCTTACCTTTCTTGTAGGATAATTCCTTTAACCCAGGAATGAGTGGAGTGAACCTCCTCTGATATCCTAAGAGAACTCTAATCTTTTACAAATAAAGAGAATAAAACTACATAGTACTCAAGATATAGCCTCAATATTTGAAAGGTGATTTGGTTTGGTGCATAGCCTTACTGTGGGATACAAGCTTTCTTGAGAATCACGGTTGAGCTAGGAATAAGGCAATTGAACATGCAAAGTCATTTCATTCGTTTTTTTCAGACCAAGGGTTCCTGAAATGACATGTTCTGCTTTTTAACTTTGAGTCAACATGAGATCGAGTTTAGAGTCCAGAATTTATCCAAAATTCAAGCACCGGCAACATTAAAAGGAGATATTCTTGGAAAAAGGGTCTATCTGGTGGTCATGCACGTGTTAGGAATTCAAATCAGAATAAAGATACTGCATTTAAGTTAAACTACATGCTCAGGACATCCCTCAGCAATTTACATTCAGCAGATTCAACCTGAAGAAGTAGTTATCATTAGTATGCAGGGATATGCAGTAGCCAAACAGAGCACAGCACTAGTCACTAATGGAAAAATTACCAAAAAGATTTGATTGCACCAACTGAGTAAAGTATGTCAACCCCAGGAGCTTAGCAGGGCTGGAAATGAAATCAAGACGTTCTCTGTCATATAAAGTGCTGTAATCAGAATTCACTCCAAATTTGGACAATTGGAGCTTCAAGACCAAGATCAATTTTCTTTTTCCCCTCTGAGTAAGGGCACATCGGAATACAGGAGACAAAACAAGTACAATACAGGTCAGCCATTATCAGAAAGAACAGCAGAATATGTTTGAGGGGTCGAATGGCCTGCTCCTGTTTCTATGTTCAAGTAGTACTATTTGGATCTTTTCTGTCTACCTAAACAGGAATTTGAATCCTCAGTATATTGCATCACTTCTTTGTGTTGCATTAAATAATAAGTCTGTGGAGTCTGTTAAACCGACAACATTGCTTATCTGTGCCACCAGCGAATGTCAAACTGACAGGAAGCTGAAACTAAGTCACAAACTAAACTTGCCAACAATCTCAGCAGGCTAAATGCTCAGTTTGCTGTCTGTTCCATTGTGGCAAATGAAAAACACTCCATTGCACAAGCAGGCTGGCATTTGTAAAAATATTCCAGGAGTAAAATAAACATGCTGTTTGGGGTAGCAAAGAGTACAGCCACAAGCTGCTGGACTCAGGTTTGATGATGTAATAGAAAATAAAAACTTTTAAGAATGGGTGAAGAGAACAGAAAAACATTTTTGGGATAAATAAGCAACCTTCTTGGAGCCAGCATTTTAACTGTTAAGGCTTTGGAACTGATGAATGATTTCTCTGAGTCACGAGTGGTAGATGCATTTCATACATGTATCAACAACTTCCTTCCACTTGGCTACTCTCCTGAGAAGCCAGCATTAGCTGAAAAAAGATGATGGCGATCAAAGATCAAAGAAATCTTCAGCTTCCCATAAAAATGCCTCAAGTTTCACATCACCTGATAGCGGTTCCTGGTTAACCAAGTTGAGTTTGTAAAAACCAACATTTTCTACACCTAAAAGTGGAAACACAATATACATGCCATCCATCTCCGTTCATCTGTTTGTTGATCTCACCTTCTCTTAACTTGCATCTGTTTCCTAACAAATTCCACCTCACTCCCTGCCCATTTCATTCTCTGTGCCCTCATCTTCCTTCAACACCTCAAATTTATCTTTCCTTTTCCTAACAGTCCTTCATCTTTCACACTCAAATCTCAACACCTGCAACCCGCTTTCTTTCCTCTTCCATGACCACTGGTTCCTCTGTTCACCTCATTCTCAGAACCCACTCCTCAACATGAAAACCAGTCTATTTCATTCATTGCCCATGGTCTTCTCTTCACAGCTCCAACAGACCAACTCTGCTCTGCACACCTCACCCCGAACCCCGTGAGCGTACAGAGCCCAGCCCTATTTACCTCTGACATCACCTCTCACTGACTCCTCTTCCCAGTTAGCTTTACACCTGAAAAACACACTCCTATCCCCTTTGCTGACCATCTGCAGACATGCACAAATACATACATTCTCCCCGTCATGTGTACGCAGTCTTCTGTACTCCCTTGGGCATACCCTCACCCAACACCCCGCATCCTCCATTCCCCGCTTTACACACCACCACGCACCGCCCCAACTACAGCTTTCCCCTCTTCAAACCCCACAATCATTTCCTCCCCTCCAACTCTCTGCCAGGAGTTTTTGTCGCCAAACCCTCCCCATTTCTGCACCCCTCCCCTCTGCTCTATACCCTACCACCCCGTTCTCTGGCAGGACCCTTCCACTCCCATAAAGGCCTCCTAGGCATTTCTCACTGCGTCCCGCCTGTGTGCCTGCAGACCCCAGCACGGTACCATCGCCCCTGAGCCAGTACTGCAGGAATTCCTCGGCCAGTGAGCGTGTCCCCGCTTACGGACCTGTCCTCGCTGACGCTGATCACTCCGTCTTCTTTGGGGATGATGGCCGCCATGTTCACCACGTCCTGGGAGCCCTCGATCTTGCTGAGCAGAACAGGTCTCCGGATGCGAGCCCTGGGCTTGCTCTCCGCCGCCATGGTGATGGACCAACCCCAGCGTCACCTCCAAACACTACGCAGCCACCACCGCGCAGCTCCGGAAATCCCCAGGCACCGTGCAGCCGCGAAACCTGTCCGCCCGGTGTCGCCGTGAAATACCTCCGCCGGAAGTAGAGGAGCAGCGATTTGGGAATAAAATAATTCATGGCGGTTTAAAAGTTCGACTTTCTCTTTCCCTTAAATGAATCTCCAGGACTGTAACTGGATTTTCAGCTTGTATCAGTTTTATCGGATTCTAACGTTCTGCTTTTTATTTCTCCCAGCATTTCTATTTTATTCTTCAGTCCTTCCATCACAGACTGCACGTTGGAAATGGATGGTTATAAATATCACGTTTTCCCACCCACTCAGTTTCAGGTTCATCTTTCAGAAATGCTATGATCTACATTTGTAATAGCTGTTTGTAAACTTGTCGAGGCTGCAGCATCGCACCCAGCGGGAGAGTCCTATGGTAACTGTAGGCTATCGGGCCAGACGTTTGCATCTAGAGTGGAAAGTGCCAGTGTGGACGTTAACGTTAGCAACAGAATGAAAAGGTAAAAACAAAAAGTAGAATTCATTACTTCTGTACTAGGAATGTGATGAGCGATACGTTGAACAATCAATGGTGGGAGCCTAGGCTGTGGGTTATTTGGATGTGGGGAGATCATGTGATAACATCTGGAATATATCTGGACCGGGGTGTTGTTTTTTTTTAGTCAATCTCTTTGGACATGTTACAACAGCTGCGTGTGTTCTGATATCATAAGTACAGACACTACGACTGTATCAAAGAGGAATAGAAACAGAGAAACAGGAGTAGGCCATACAGCCTGTTGAGGCTGCCCCACCATTCAATATGATCATGGCTGATCAACAACTTGAATGCCTTTTAGTCACCCCTCCCTCATGACCGTATACGCTAGTAGTAATCAGGAGTCTATCAATCTCGACCTTATACATACTCAAAGACAGGATAAAGAAAAACTTTAATTCACTGACTGGGTGGCTCAGTGGTGAGCACTACTGCCTCACAGCACCAGCAACCCAGGTTCAATTCCAGTTTTGAGTGACTGAGGACTTTGCACGTTTTCCCTGTGTCTGTGTTGGTTTCTACTGGGTGCTCGGGTTTCCTCCCACAGTCCAAAGATGTGAAGGCTAGGTGGATTGGCCATGCTAAATTGCCCCATAGTATCCAAGGATGAGTAGGCTAGGTAGATTAGCCATGGTAAATGCTGGTTTATGGGAATAGGGTAGGGGTCTGGGTGGGATCCCCTTCAGAGAGTTGGTGCAGACTCCCTAGGCCCAATGGCCACTTTCTGCTCTGAATGGATTCTATGATTAGCATCAAACCTGGACCATGGTGATGAAAGATATCTGAAAGCTGTGTAGCCTGAGTTGTCAATATTCAGTAGATTATTTTAAAAGGTGTCATCAACAGGTACATTGTTGATACCAAAAAAAATGTGGTGACAATTCAATTGGACACAGCAAGAAGGGGGTGAGGTGGGGGAGGGGATACCAATCTGCTGCAAACAATGCAATGTGATATGATGGGTGTTAACTAGAAGAAATATGACATTGTATACATTCTCTTCCATTCATCCAGACCCAGTTTATGTTCCAGAAAAGGTGAAAATTGGGGCATTGAAACATTTTTGAGGAAATTGTCAGGATGCTGGGACAGTGAATGAAAAATTGGGACTATCTTGACACAATCTGGTCACCCTAACTAAATCCACACTGGGATTGCCAACTCTGGTTGTATGTGTTCCTGGATGTTTCAGCTGATTTCCCGCCTTCAACCATCATTCTCCCACGTTAGCATCAATGATCTCTCAACATGTTGATTATCAAAGTATTTCACCTTTCTACCCGATTGGATGCTTCCTCATATCAGTCAACCAATCTTTTTCCTGTCACCAGTACTTTCTCTTTACTAAAGAACTCTAGGTTATTTGTAGCAGTACCCTGTAGACGAACAGTTAATTCTGGAGAATGGCAAACTTTATTTGCATGTACAATGGAAATTGTCTTTGCAACAATTTACATTAATAAATTATACTTGGCAGTCAGAAACATGACTTCTAAATTTGCACATGCTACCAAATTGGGTGGTGTAGATAATCTGAAGGAAGATTGCAACAAAATACAAGAAGACATTAATAATTGTACAGAATTGACACATAATTAGCAAATAAATTTCAATATCGTTAAGTGTGAAGTGTTGCACTTTGGTGGGAAGAATTTAAAAAAGCTGCAAACTGCTTGAATAATAAATAGGAATAGGATTGAGGACCAAAATAATCAGGGATTACAAACGCAAAAAAAAAATCATTAGAAGTAGTTTCTCTGGTTAAGAAAAGAACAAGCAAAGCACTGGGCTTCATTGCTATAAGCATGTTATTGCAAAATAGGGAATTTATGTTAAACTGATGTAATGCTTTGGTTAAAGCACACTGAAGAGTACTGTATGCAGTTCTGACCTCTGCAGTACACAAAGGATATAATTCATTGGGGAAGAGCAAAATAAAATTCACAAGGACGGTTCCCCAACTGTGACATTATAAACACCAGGAAAGTTGGAGTCGGCTGGGCCTCTTTTTTTCTCCAGAAAATAAAATGAAGGGGTCACTGTCTTTTGGAGCTAATAGAGATATTATTAAAACATAAATGATGCACACTTCCTGACCACAAAAGCAAATTCCTACTGTCATCGTCTTGGTTACATTTTTTATTTTAATATTTTCAATGTTAAAGAAGGTTTTGTGTAATAAATAGTAGTGAGCAGAAATGTGTAGTAAACAATAATTCTTGGTAACTACAGTAACCAGGTCAATGCTTGCTGTCAACCTGGGTCCCAAAGATGGGTAAATTGGGGAATTCTGCATACCTTTTAAAACTCCAGGAGTAGTGAGGTTTGATTCCCGGTGTGCTACCCCAGTGAGGCAACAGTTCGGCACTAGCCTGTTGAGAAGTGTTCTAGCCAAGATCTTCCCAGATTCGGAAAAAGATAGTGATCCCATGGTACTTGGAACAATCTGACTTTTCTCATTTGTTTTCATACAAGGTGGTGATAACGGCATCCCCACACATATTATAAGAAGCAAATCTTCCATCCAATATACACACACAGAGGTATTAGTCCCTCCTTTCTCTTCCCTCCAATATACACACCATAATCAGCTCCTCTTTCTCGTTGTATATGGGTCTGAAGGAGTTAATACTAGGAAGTGCCATAAGCACCACCCAACTACAATGATGTCATGTGGATTAACGGACAGAAAAGCGAAGGATCTTGCAAGAGTGAAAGCTAATATCCATGTCCTCCTTATAGCGTCTGTAACAATGCCTGTCAGATTAACGTGACTTGTAACGAGGTGCCAGCATGTAATAAACAATTTTATGTTCAATACAAAAGACTCTTCTACTTAGAATAAAAAGTGAATTTTCTTGTACCATTATATACCAAGCGGGGATGGTAAATCCCTATACCTTCAACATGGTGTCTCAGTTTAGCTGTGCATACAACCTCTCCCACACAATAACCAGTCCTGCTTCCACCCTCAACCGTTTGCCTCCAGAGTTCCCAGCCCAGGGTACAAGGCCTGGAAAGCAACAATGTGCAAACTGTGATAGGTATTTTAATGTTTTAATCACATATCCCAGGATAGTCTGGTATGTATTTAATTCACATTAAAATATATAGACACTGTAACCTAATTTTAATCTCAGTTCTCATCATATTTCTTTGTAAAGATTTTTTTTGTATCTGAAGCACTGAATTTACAGATTAGATTGGCTGTCTCATGTGATTGATAACAAACAGTTGCAATCAGGATCACTCAAAAATAGAGATAACAAGGTGTAGAGCTGGATGAACACAGCAGGCCAAGCAGCATCAGAGGAGCAGGAAGGCTGACGTTTCGGGCCCAGACCCTTCTTCAGAAATCACTCAAAACTAGCTCAAGTTATCAATGCAAGCCACCCCTTCATATTAACCCTGATTTTACTTCAGTTTTTTCAATGTAGCTTCAGCTTCAAAAGTAGCAACCAATAAAGTTAACTAGTTATTGATACTGTTTGTGAAGAAGAACGATACCATGATTTATTCCCACAGTATATACATTCAAAGCTGCTGGTTTGTCACTAGCGATCCAGGTAAAGGTGGCAAAGGCTCACGTTTCTGCCATCACACTACATTACAGTTTTGGCGTTTATTTTCCAACACTACTTTCACATGTCCTCTCATGACTTTTTTTTCATTTTAGCTATTTCCCTCACTATAACCAATGTTCTATTCACTATCAGATTCTTCTATCACTCCAGTTTCTGTATAGGTCTGCAAACATGGTCTTTTTTTCCTGTGAAATAAACCTAATGATCTATAGAAAAGTGAACCACATGTATTGACACAGATTATGTTTTTACACAATGCATAATGATCAACCAATATTGCAGCTGTCCTTATCTTAGAAACATTGTGGTCTTTTCATTTGAATCTTATTTAGAAAGAAACACTATTTTTAAATTCTTCTTACTTCACTGAGGTTTTCAAAATATTGCCCAATCTTCATAGCCTTATGTTACCTACAAAACATCACTTCCCTTTCTCCAGCACATTCCATAAAAGTTTGATTCAGATGCCTTCAGTATAAGATGATCATCGAAGAAATTTAATAGGGAAATCAGAAGAAATTTCCATAAACATCGGCATATACATGTTGAGCTAAATGGCCCATTCGTGCGCTGTATATCTGATATAATTCCAAGTACTCTTGGAGCAGTACTACCAATGCTGCCTGCACAAAATCCTGAGAATGTGTAGGGAAGAAAGACACACCAACACCAGCGTCATCGAACAGGCCAACATTCCCAGAATTGAGGCACTGACCACCCTAGATCTGCTATGAAGGGTGGGGCACATCGTCCGCATGACCAGCACAAGACTCCCCAAGCAGGTGATCCACTCCCAGCTTCAAAACGGCAGGTGAGCCCCACATGGACAGAGGAAGCACTTCACGGATACCCTCAAGGCCTCACTGGCAGAGTGTGGCCTTCCCACAGACATCTGGGAATCATTGGCACAAGACCATCCAAAATGAAGGTGGAGCATCTGGGAAGGCG